ATGAACCTCGTGTCTCCCTGGGTTGGTAATCAGGAGTTTGTAAAATACAAATGTCCTTGTTGTAAGGGTCAGTCGTCGAATACATTCATCACATGCAAACACTCAATAATGGAATTGGCCAAAGAATTCCAATGTTCTTCTGAAAGTCTCGGTTCAGATATCATACGCTACTGATATTAGCAGTGGTCACGAATCAACTCGGATTGCTAAGTTCATGGCATCGTGTGCAAACCATTGCACCACTGTTCTAACCCTACAGTGACTATGGAATATTACTAAAAATCCAAATTTTGCGACTCCCCTGAAAAAGCATTTATACTGCAACCATGCCTCTTTTGTTAAAGCCCACTGAGATACATGCCTCAGATAACCCTTTCCACCTGCCATAGCAATGTGGAATTTGAGCAGGAAACAGCTTTTTTTAGTTTTGACGGTAACTAATATTAAGAGTAATAATATCCACGTCGGGATGAACAATTGCACAACAATTTTTTGGCAAACATAGGGGGCTTGTTCACAACGTGTGCATGCGGGGAGGTGAACGTGTGGCTGCAAAGGGGTGTTGTCCGGTTGACGTGTGCACGTGTCTTGTGATAGCGGTCTCACACTGAGCTGGGTAACGGGTAAAATAATTGACGAGCAATAACGTACGATAGGTTTATAAGCATCTATCTGAAAATTATCTAAATGATCGAGTTGAAGAGTTATTTCACTTCCCTTCTTAAAGTGCACCATGTTGAAAGCTGCCTGGATGTTTGTGTGTGTGTGCAACTGGCTTTTACTCGAGCGGAGTGGTGGAGTCATTGGCATCACACCGCGCTACGAACCCAGGGTTCCTAAATCTAATCCGGCAATGGCTAACATAAATGTAGAATATCTTAACTGCTTCTGGGCCTCCACTAGAGTGGCTCAACAGTAAACGAGTACCTGGTGCGGTGTGTAAATGTATGAGCACTGGGGAGACAAAGGTGGTCAGGCATGGTCCTCACCACACCTCCCCATTTTGTGCTGTGCTGGCCTTCGTAGGTGCTCGCTAACCACACTTACCCAGATTATAACTCGATTTTGTAATGAGCAGCAGGACATGAGGTAAAGAAATCTTCATCTGAAACTGCTACAATCAGATAAGTGTCGTGTCATACGAGGACACAGCCCTACAAGATAATATTACAGAATCTCTGGCTTTTCAATGCCAGAGAACACTCCTTCACGATGTGAAAAGAGTAGTGTCGTGCATGTCAGTTCATCCCAATTATATTTACAAATTACAGCCCTGCACACTTGGCTAAACTGAATGAATTTCAAAGCGAAATTAGATCTTTCATGAGGAGCTGCAACACTGCCGTGTAGTAATTGGTGACCAGGCTGAAACCATTACATGCACCACATCATTTACGGACGTATATTTGTATTTAGAATATGCCACGGTGTAATGGATAGCACACTGGACTTGCAATACAGAGGTCACCGCTTCGATTAAGTCTAATGGTGTGGCAGTTGAAAGCAACGGTGCAAGTTTTTTAAATCCACTCCACCTCTGTCCTTCCCCCGCACCTCCGATTAGCACGATTGGCTACATACGTGCGAAAGAAGTTAAACATACATGCGCTATGAGTGGATACACCACAGGTCGGCATTTCACGTGTGGTGTGACAAAGTGTGGGTACTCCCACCGTTCATCAAAGACATCCTGCCAGTGTTGGAAGTGTAGGCCAAATATCTTCTAGATCTCCCTCTAGTGGAGGACTTTCTGCCAGCGGTGCAGTGAGCAAGCAATTACAGGGCTGCACCTTTGGCTTTTACTGTATTATAACGTAAGGCACCTGCCCAGATTCTGAGCTAGAGTTCACCTTGTGCCAGGTGAGTGCTCTGACACGACCATTGTGAGCTCAGCTGTGATGTATTTAAATGTGTGTGCCACTGTGGCAGAATCGATACTTAAGCATCGTTTGTCACATTTAGTAGATCATCTTTCAGAAAACTTAGAATACGTCGCGCAATATATATTTTAATCTTACACGCACACACAAGCAAGTATCAAGGACAGTGAATTATGGATGTTATTGCTTTCTATCCAACAACTAGGCGACTGTGTTTTCACAGATTCCAGGGCAATAATATTTTATTTACTTATTACAAAATTCTGCTGTCTTCACAAGAGACCGGCAGAACACGTTTCATGGATGAGTTTGAAATTGTGATGTTTTCACGTGAACATCTCCATTCATAATAAATCCCCACACTTTCATGAATAAATAAACACACCACCTCTCACTGCACGGTATACCAAAAATGCACACAAAAAAAACAACGTTAAAATGTTTTTTGCTTTGTACAAATGGCATGACGGGCAAAGCGTCTCCCTGCACACATGAACAAATGGGGGAGTGCGCATCTTCCTTGGTGGCTCTGATCAAGTGGTGGAATTCCACACTGCCATGCCAGCAGTCAGTCTCTCTCACACCGGTGTGCGTACTCCCAAGAAGTGGTAGCCTTGTAAGCCCCCATCTCAGATTTGAATTCGAAGCCCTCCAGTTGAGAGGCGTGAGAGGCGAGGGGGGGTGGCATTATCAGCGTTCACGTCGTATCTCTGAGTACCTGCTCGGAGCTTGATTATCAGATGGTCCAATCAGCTCTGTCTGAATCCCGATCACTCGGCCAAAAACTCCCCCAACGACGCGCCGCCATCCGACTGTCTTGCCATTGGCTCAGCGTTCAAGTCTTCAACTGAACATCAAGGGTCTGTCAGCCACCAAGCGTCATCTCATCAGTATTCTTACTCAACAGAACCTGGTTGGTGACATGTACAGTATATGCAAGATATATATTGACAAAGCAGAATTGCATTGACTCTTTTACACCGTACGTAGCCAACCGTGCTAATCGGAGGTGCTACGCCCTCCGTGCCAAATAGGAACGGAGGGCAAAGCAATATCTCCGATTCCACTCAACTTCGAGTCAACGCCTATGTGAAAACTTATTTAAATTGGTAGGTTCAAGGTGCTTACTGTCTATAAACCACCAAGCATAACCAAAGGGGAATCGAGCGCTTCCCAGCTTCAAACACCCAGCCGTCATTGTCGATGATTTTCAGTCACCACCCCAATTGGGGCTACGATCCAGACTGCGATGGGGATAACTTTCTGGACTGATCCTCCGCAGATGACGTGGTACTTTGTCACATGACGAAACCGCTCGGTACCTTTTGGTGAGAAAGATGGTTGTATGACAACTCAACAGACCTCTGCCGAGTTTAAGTCGGTAAAGAGCCGATTTCTTGTCAGCTTTGTCTTCTCGAAGATGGAGAGTTACACAGGATGACTGTGAAAACCTACTTAGTAATAAGCCCTCCTTTATGAGACCTTGGCTACGCAGGTGTATGTCTCATTCCATGTAAATCACTAGAAAGCCTTGCCACTATGTGGATAATTGCGCTTAAAGACTCGACTGAAACTACTTCGAAAACCAATAGTTTTTATTCCGTCTAAAGTCTGTTTTCTTCACCATAATCCGCAGCATCAGTCACTTGTCCATCCATTGCGATCCCTCATGGTTCTGTAATGCCACGCTCCATCTCGTCATCTCTCTACCTCTGGTGTATTCCCTCCTTTGGTTGTTATTCCATCGCAGCCCTCACCCATCAGCCACCATCACTCTGCCAATGTGTCCTGTCTAAGCCGAGCAAAATGATGCCTCTCATTTGGTTGTTCCAGGCTGCACGTGTTCCTCTTTCAGTGCATGCTTTCACATGGGGAATATTAAAGTAGAATTCGTAAAGATGAACTCTGCATTGAGGATAACCACCTCCTTTTGATAAATTCACAAAAGGGAAGAGGTTTTCCTCTATACTTCAATGTAATTGGCTTTCCCATCACATGACAAATGTGATGCCCAAAGTAGACACATTTCACTCTAAAACCAGCTGTTCATATTCAATGGTGGAGCAAGGATTTTCAGGAAGAGGGGGCAACCCCTCCAGCAATGAAATATGATAAGAGTTGTTAGTAAGGAGTTGTTAGCAAGTAAGGACTTGTTAGTGAGTAAGGAGTTGTTAGTAAGGACTTGTCCCTTGCTTTTTATTCGACGCGTGTGCGGCAATGGCGCAGCCATCGATCGAGGTGTCGAATTCGAACCGCGTTGTGTGATCGACATCACGCTCGCTGAAGGTGCTGATGCCTTCAGGGAAGTCGTGGATTGTATACGCAGCTGCGCACATTTCTGAGTCACTCATAACCGCTTTGCCGTTACTTATTACCAATTATGGACAGAGACTATTGTCCTATCATCTCATAGAGTCCCTGGCACGTAATAATATGCTACACATTGGCAGTGGGAGTCACAAAATGCCGATGTATTACTAATAAACCCCAATGATCCGATTGCAATCCCTAATTTCGATCGGATCATTGGGGGGGGGGGGGGGGGGCACGTGCCACCCCCCCCCCCCCCGCCGCTCCACCAGTGCTCATATTAACGAGATGAACCCAATTAAACTAAACTGAGATTTTCTTTCAGAATGACCTGGGAGGAGACCAAAACACCACACACCCAGCCTGTTTTTTTAACACATTATAGAAGCGCTATAAATGTGAACCTTGATATCATTCTAACGAGATTCTACATTTTTAAAGTCGGTCACCCAAACACGATGGCCTGGAGGTTAGTAAGTTTCACTCTTAGGGCAAGTTCATGCCAGAGATCAAAGCTGCCCGAAGTTTCGTGCCAAAAGCTAAAAATATATCTATCAAATATCGACATCATTGTGGGCGGTTTCCATTCAGAAATACCGGTACAGTATTTTTTTCATGAGGTAGAAAGGTAATGTATTCACACATCATAAACCTATATGTTGTACTGTATTCTAAGGTAACTTAGGAACCAGCAGGTGGGTATCTCATACACGATGGGTCCATCTCTGTACGATCCACCAACCCCTGCTTTGTCTCACCAGTGTATGCCCATCCTACTAGTCCAACCAATACAATAAAGAATCACACAAGTCCCGATGTGGAAAAGTTTTACTTAAAATTATAACCGTAACAAAATACGGGAGACATTTCGAAGCTTTGTAATGGCACATATTTGACTGGATTTACAAAGTTACAGACGTATGACCATTAATATAAATAATGTCGTTCATACATTCAGTAAATAAATGTTTATTGGTTTGTGCCAGCTTGAATGACTGCGTCAATTTCCACTTTTATGTATTTTCAAAGTCAAAAGCTGGGCACATCCATCAGTGGAATGGTCATGGCAGGAGGATCCAGCATTGGAATGTTTGGACAATTCCATTTTTTAAGGAGAGTTTTGTGCATGCGAGGAAAAAGCCACACACACAAAAGAGGTTATATGACACAAAGGGCCTCACAGAGATGTTCATGAATCCACTTGCTGTTCTGTTATATCCTGGCCACCCCATATAACTAATGGATTTGGGGAATTTCACAACTACGTGGATCCACAAGCGTGCACCGCTCGCCCCAGCTTAAACATGATACACTAATGTATCCACTGCTGCCAGAGATTGTAAACATTATTTGTGGGTCTGACCAACGATTCAGGTTTCAGCAGCCAAATCGCTGGAATAATAAACAGAGGTTGTTCATGAGTGTTCATAACAGATTTGTACTTTCTCTGGTGTGCTATTTGTAGCATTAATGACATTTATATGGTCTCCTAAATTAAAATAAACACCGTAAAGCCTATTTTTCATTTCATCTTGCGCAAGTTTAACGGTGTGCTTTTATTTGTAGGGAAATCCATGTTTTTAATCGTGTAACGAATGTAGTAGATATGAAAGGGCAGCCGTTAAAATGAATTCCTTTTTAATTAATTTCAATTTGTGCTCGGACTCCAATAGATATGATGCGTTCTTTCACGTGCAGTTTATATCAACTGACGTGCTTTGGTTATTAATATTGTCCAACATAAATTATGTTGAGTCATTGTGAATCTAATTTGTGACCTAGACCTTCCGTTTCCCATGACTTTGTGTTCAGCATAATGTTGATACATTCTAAATAAATATTTTCTTAATATAAAACAATGGCATCCTGTTTGGGAACAGCCCATACAAATTATACCACACTCATTTCAATAGGTTTCCTTTATCAAAAAACGATAATTTACTGGTTTGGAAAGAGTAGTTTTCTACAAGTTAAGTTATCCAATATAATCAGCCAAGTTCTATCCAATGCTAAATTGAGACCTCCACACCATCACAATCCCTCATGATCCCGTGATCCCACAATCCATCTCACTCCTGCACACGAACTGATCTCATTGCTATATCTCTGCGATGGTCATCCTCTCAGCCACTGTTTTCTCCTTGAGCTACGATTCCATCACAAATCTTGTTCATTGGTCATCATCCCTTCCAGCAGAGCTCTGCCAAAGCCTACTTTGTTAAAAAACACAATACGTCTCGGATTTGTGCTCGTGCCCTGATCCATGTGTTCCTTTTTCACAGAATAATTCCAAGCGTGCATCTATCTCCATTTGCTTCTTTGCACACTTTTAAACTTTCCTCCGAATTTTCTTTCAATTTTGTGATCCATACTTTGTAGCTGGCAACACAGTCTGAAAACTTTACATTTTGTGCCCAATGCTGCTTATCATAATCAAATTATGTTTACATGAACAAAAAAACACTCCATATTGTGAAGAGCTGTCATCATTAATCGATAACATTTACCAAAACATATAATTGATAAGTATTTTTATCTTTTGGTTGAATTGTACGATCAGTTCCTACGTCTAGAAGCGCCATGCCTATCATGACGGGAAATAGGCTGATGGTGCGATTACGTCATTAACCCCCGCTCTTTACATCTCGTATGATGGCATTACGAAGGAGAGTGGCTACACAAGTTGAGGAGTGGAGTAAGTTTCCTTTGTTTGTGCATGAGTTTGCTGTTAAGTGAATAATATGCGCCAGAGTTAAATTCAATAAATGTGAAGGAGTTAAATGTGAACAAATTGTTATATACTGTAAGATTTTTTTTCTCGGTTTTGCAAGGTTTAAAATGTATGTACGTATTATTCAAGAGAACACAATCATACGCAATAGTGGAAAACACTTCATGGTAATAACACAAATTAGTAATACATTGTGCTAAATGCATGTCTTAAGCCTCGTGACAATTTTTCGTAAAAATTTAGCAAATTTCCTTTTCCGATTACTTAGTTATTCTGACCAATAATTATTGGCTAGATAATTTGAGCAATTATTGGTTAGACAATTTGAGCAATTATAATTGCTCAATTATAATTGTTCAAATTATTGCTGACGGCTCTAATGCTGTTATTCTTTTGCCTATTTATTTTGCAATATTCAGTATATCCACTTTTTTGTTTAACCTAAGCTACGTATATACATATATAGCTGTATTTCTCAGCAGTTTCCCTCGAATTTTATTTTGTTACAAACTTACTGCCCATTGCCTTTTGCGTGGAAATGGAAGCCATCATCAAAACAGGTTTATTTTTCTGCGTCTTCCTTTATCAAGCTTTCACTCCTTAGAATCTGCCCAATCCATATCTTTTGGCTTTTTATGGATTGTTCTGATAAGACTTCTCTCCTCGACCTGCCATAAAACGTACTCATTCTCTCTATAGAATTGAATTTCTTTCTCTAATCGATACCACACCCACATCTCAAGACCTGATTTTCTATCCGCTTGTAAATTTCAAACACTATACACATCCCCCCAAAATATCACTGCAGATAAGGGGTAAAATCCATGTATCTATATCAAGTACGTAGCATTGTTATTCATCCATACGTGGTTTTAATGTCACAAATCTGAAGCAGTGGTTAAAATATGCATCGCTCACTCTTTAAACTGAGCCACGTCATGACTTATCCCCTGGGCTACAGCGTAACTTTGGATAAGTACACAGAAGATGCCGATTGTTTAATACTTAACATCTGCGACGATGCCTCGAACGCACTGCTACACATGTCAGTTACCCCAGAACTGTACAATTATGGCCCTGTCAATGTCTGATAATGCACTTCTAATTCCCCATACAAAAAAATACAATTTCAAATTCTCTACCAGTGTTTACATATAGATGCAGCCTAAAGGTTGTTACTATGACTAACTCATCAGCTAATTTGTGATGGGCAATATTGATTTTGTTTTTCAACCCAGTTTTTGAAAAATATATTTTAATGTTACTGTTAACAGCGTTTGTGAGTGCGTATGTCCTTGCCCGACTCCTCTTCCTTTATTTCTGCGTTCGTGTGCAAGCAGCCTGTTGCCAAAAGGCAGTCGAATAGACAACAATTGGCGTGCTTCACAGCCGTAAAGAGTGATTCATTCAGTTTGAGTTCGTCAACACAAATTCAACACACGTGTTCGTAATGGCAGTGCACTTAAATAGGCATTTTAGGTGCTCAGTACAATTCTTTGCATTTGTTGATGCAAACAATTGCACCGCCAATAGAATCCACGCTAATCGATTAGTGTGGCAACTGATTGCATTCTGACGTGGACTTAAGGAGAGTGATATATTTCACAGCTGTATGACCTGAAAGAAATGTGTTCAATTTACAATAGATGACTGTGAGCACATCGCTTCTGTCGGTAAACATGTGACAATGTTTGATTGCCATTCAACAGAAATGCCAAAAGGTGCAGAGGGCCTGGCTAGAGCTCTCCCACAATGTCAAGCAATGCTCGATCGAGTTAAATGCCCTCAATGGAAGTATAATATTACCTTTCAAAAACAACGCACTATAATAACGCAGAATGATGGATGTTTTGCACAACCATATTCCCATTTTCGTGATATCCGAGCCGGTTCTGGTGGCCCCCTTCATCAACCCACACTGGTGACAAATTAGGAAGTATGATGAAATAACACACATGTTCGATATGGCATGGGGAGGCTTTCATCAAGCAGTACATGAATAAATCGCCTAAACAATGTCTATTTTTAAATTCAAACGGTACAATCAGTGTCATAAATATAATAGTCATGCCCTTTATATCCCTATTCCACTGACAAAATAAGCCAGCCCTGCGCGGCTCAGGTGACAGGTTGCTTTTTCCACTGCAGAGCTTCGGGCGAGTCAAACGCCACATTACAACCATGACATGAGGGTTAAGCAATTCGACGTCACTTTAGTCGGCATGTTACCACAAGAGATGGGAAACCGTTTAACATTTCCTGCAGAGTATCCATCCCATAGCAATGCAAACACATCGTTAGCAGTTGGTGCCAGCAATTTGGTGAAAATCCAGACAGTCTGTTGGGGATTATTTTTGTGAGAGTCGTTGCTGACTATGTCGAGGCCATCAACACGTTACGAAGTTTTTTTTATTTTATCACAGAGGAAATATAAAACAAGGTTCCAGCCCAGAGTCTTCGTGGTGCTGGCTCAATGAGCAGCCAGCACCCAACGGTATTTTGCAAAATGGACGATATGATTATCATGGACCTTATATCATACGATATATCTTGTAGCATCAGCAGATTGTGGCAACCCTAGTGGCACCATATGCACGGTGTGCTTATGGACAAGGCCAGTAAAACCCAGACTCCAAAATCCTGGGTTCTGCCTGTATCCTTCATTCAACCAGGGTATGAAATAAACCCATTGAGACACATTAAAAAAAACATCGCCTCTTTTGCAATGTTGACCTCGGTTGTGCCTCTCATGCGATGAGGTATTTAGGTGAAATTTGCTCACTTTAAGTAAGTCACCTAAGGCACGTGCATTACACAATCCCCGCATCCCGTGCCATTTTGTGGAACGCGCTGTCCTTGCGAGAGAGGAGAACGTCGGGCGAGTCGAACTCCACGATTTGGCCACTGCTGAGCACCATCACCCTGAAAATCAGCACACGTCAATCAAGCTTTTGGGGGGCAACCACTGATACTATTTTGCCTCTGGTAACACTGCAAAGTCTAGAAATACGACGAAGTCAAAGAGGGCACGTTGACGAATACAAATATGAGGAAAAGAAGGATTGCCGACGCTGTTGTTAAAGGAAGTCGTCAAGCGGAAACGGGCAGCACACGTCATGATAACGACTGACAATATATACAAAATTAAGTACAGAGTGGAAACCGAGAAGCAAAGGCAAAAAAAGAAACAGAGGAAGGTGGTGGAAAAAATTGACGGGACCAAAATTCTGATTTCGGAGGCCACGACTGGAAGGGAACAACTGGGTACACGAGGTGCAGTGAAGCCTTGGATTGCGAGTAACTTGGTCTACGAGTGTTTTGCAAAACGAGCAAAATGTTTAAATACGTAATAATTTGCTGAACGAGCGAGGGTCTTGCAATACGAGCAGTGCGTACACAGTATACGCTTTGTCTGCCGAGCGTCACGTGATCACAACTGAGCCAATGGTTCTTCTCTCTCTCTCTCGCTGCGGGATTGTGGGTAATCGTCTCCCATGCTCGGTCTCAGTCGGCGTGCCTCACTCGTATAGTCAACATCCGTGCGAGCGTATACTGTTTACTACAGTACTATAGTGTTGTGACCACGTGTATACTGTTTACTACAGTGCTATAGTGTTGTGACCACGTGTATACTGTTTACTACAGTACTATAGTGTTGTGACCACGTGTATACTGTTTACTATAGTACTATAGTGTTGTGACCACGTGTATACTGTTTACTATAGTACTATAGCGTTGTGACCACGTGTATACTGTTTACTACAGTACTATAGTGTTGTGACCACGTGTATACTGTTTACTATAGTACTATAGCGTTGTGACCACGTGTATACTGTTTACTACAGTACTATAGTGTTGTGACCACGTGTGTGTGCGTAAAGTATTTTTTTATTTTGTGTCCAAGTGTAGTGATTGTTCTTTAGTAACTGTACTGCAAGTGAAAGTCGTCCTACACAATAACCATCCTCCTCTCCTCTATCTCGTCTCCCTCACACCAGCCAAGATTAAATGTAATTAATACATTTTATTACTTTATATTAAATTGAAATAATACAAATATAAAAAGGTATTTTGTATTAATTATTTTTATATGAATACAGTATTTTTGGGTTGTGGAACGAATCATCTGAGTTTCCATTATTTCTTATGGGGAAATTCGCTTTGATATACGAGTGCTTTGGATTACGAGCAAGTTTCCGGAACGAATCATGCTCGCAATCCAAGGTTTCACTGTAATGGCTTTAGCCGAGCAGTGGGAAGTTACAGGCTGACAACAACGATCCACCTCAGCTGCCAACTCTCTGGGACTTTTAACGTCCCGGGGAAGATGTCCAGATTTCCCAGGAAGAGCTACCTTAAAAAATGGGTGCGATCCTGGAAGAAGAGAAAAAAAACCAGGAGAGGTCACAACCCCTAAACTTACCGTGTGCAGTCGAGCACGGTGTGCAGGCGATGCGCAATAGTGAGCACAGTGCAGGCGTGGAAGTGCGTGCGGATCGTCCCCTGGATGAGCGCGTCCGTCTCCACGTCCACGGCGGCCGTTGCCTCGTCCAGCACGAGCACGCGCGTGCGGCGCAGTAGAGCCCGCGCCAGGCACGCCAGCTGCCTCTGCCCGACGCTGCGTGTTACACGGCACGCGCGCGTTACACGGCACGCTCGGACCCGTCTCATCGGGTTCGTGAATGCAGTGCTCCAACCGCTCCACCCCTGGACGCATCGATGTGATTGTGTGCTGGGGGTGGAGCGGTTGGCGAAGTTACGTCTTGCAAAAAGGTTCGCCCCGAGACGCCACGATGCGTTGACATTGGTTTCGGAGGAGTATTTCAATTCAAGAATTCATTCTCTTTCGTCTCATTTTACAGTGTAATTTGTCTTGTTTCTTGTTTGCACATCTCTTGTTCACTCCATTAACCCTCAACGCAATATCGGTGCATAATACTCAACATGACAGAATAAACTGTAAATAATAATGCCTTCCGGTGCACGACTTGAGTGTAATTTTAACATGAATCTATGCAGTGTTTACATCCTCAGCAATGATGCATACGCTACACAATGCCTTGAGCGCACGTGCATTGGGATGGTGGCATCTCAACGCATGACAAATCTGGAGGGTTAAAATCGCGTTTCACAACAGAGCCGCTCCATGGCCAAAGCGACTACGGTCTCAGGTCGGATTTGGAGCAGCGTTCCCGGTGCCCGCAGGCAAAGGCGCTAACCGCCAGGCCACGCAAGGCCTCCGCAGAGCACCTGAAGTTCTCGCCGCCCTCGGCACACTCGTGCTGGATTCCCCCGGGCAGGGCGCGCGCCGTCTCGCCCAGGTGCGCAAACTCCAGGGCCTCCCACACCTCGGCGTCCGAGTGGTGGCCAAACGGGTCGAGGTTGTCTCGCAGGGAGCCCCCGAACAGCACGGGATCCTGGCCACGGGTTTCCAGGTTTGTTTTGTTCAAGCAGGTGGGAACTCGAGAGACAACGATAGTTCTCAATTGCAAGTGACCCAGGTCACCAAAAATGGCAAAAGCAATATCGTAAAAACCAGTAGAACAACAAAGCAATGAAAAATCCAAGCAAAATAAGCGAATAGAAATTTGAGCAAAATTGTGTCCTGTTTAAATTGTATCTTACATCTTTACATGGCTTGCCATTATAAATCACCGAGCACTTTTTGTATACTTTCCCCAATTTTATCTTGTTTAACAAAGTCGTTGTGACATTCGATATTTACAGGGTTTGCTATTATATCAAACTTGTGGTCACTGTAGATATCGCATCTTTTGGCTGATCCCTTTCATAAATTAAAATGTAAATACATTTGCCAATGACACTGTGGCCTTATGAGGAAATATAATAGGTGACGTTTTGGGCAATGGCCCTTCTTCAGATCACATACATAGAGAGGGCAGACACATCTAATTTGTGCAATGGCCCTTCTATGTTATAAAAATCGGCTGTTTTTCTACATCCCTAGTGTGTTTTTTGTCAGTAAAGCACATTTTTTTTTCATACATTTATTTCTGGTAACAGCAGGCTGTCTGCTTTTTATCTGATTTAATGTCACACTTATCAAAATGTCCCCTAAAATGTGAGTTTGAAAATAGTATTTGTCAATTGGATTCAGCACCCTTGAAACACTCCAGAGAAGAGCTCTTTCATAGGTCACGCTTTAACAAAACAAAGCTTTAAACAAAACAAAGCTTTGTAAGCATTGCAAATGTAACAATGCTGCCCTCTATTGGTTGATCTTAAAATCCTTAACACGAACACCTCAAGCATGTTTCATCTAAAACATCAATTTGCATTCTATAGCACTGACACAGTTACATTCTCTAGACCAGATTAATCCTCACAAGGTGATGATTCTGCATATTAGAAAATGTACCTCTTTTTTACCTTATTTTGCCTTTGCAACAAAAACACTAAGATTCCCTCCACTTTGACTGCCTCAATGCAATATATTGTATGTGATGTTAGGGTCATCAAATATGGCGAATGAGCATCGGAATAGGGACTCTACAGCATCTAGAACGTCTATGGCAATTCCCCAGGCTTGTGCAAATGTTAGACTGTGTGAAGAGGCAGGGCAGGCAGTACATGGAGTCAATGCTTTGATAATGCATTCTACATTCCGCTACAAGGAAGCATGGGTAACCCTTTCCCGTTCTGATGACGTTCCGATGACGTTCCGATGACGTACATGTACATCACCAAAACAAAACCGGAAGAAAAACTAAAATATAATATTTTTCTTGCTGTGGTTTTCACACCTGATGATGATTGCTTGTGTTGCAGTGGAAACGTCGTGAGAATTTTGTTTTATATTTTTATTATTTTATTGTTTCCCTTCTACGTGACTTTACCGAAAGAACCAAGAATATGAATCCCTGCAGTCACGAAAGCTTTCAATCAAAATATAACTTTATCAGTACCGAGGCTCTCAAAAGGTCATGCGGGGGGGGGGGGGGGGGGGGCGTGTGTCATAGTTTGCCGAGTGCGGTCGTGTCACTACAGTTCTCTCTGGTGAGTATAAACAATGGCACTATGCCTCCCAAAATATAATTAATGCTGAGCCGCTTGCATGTGCCGAGATTCAGAGATGAACGGGACCCACCCTTCCACTTGCAGACCTCTTGGAAATGGGAAAGCGTCTGTTGAGATATACTGTACATGGAGTAATAATATCCTGTTACATTGTTTAACAAACTGTAGATAAGAAAATAAGTGGCATCCGATAATAACAAAAATACTTTGCAACTAATTACAAAACTAAATGTTTTGTAATATTGCATTAGCAGTGGTGCACAAGCACAAATAACAACAACAAAAAACACATGCGTCAACAAAACCACCTTAAAAAGAATGTGACATTCCAGGCAATGGCCTTTCTTCACGACACACGAAGAGGGCAGAGATTTAGAGTCTCTCTGGCAGTGTTATTTATTCATTTGTCCAGTTCGTTTTTGTATTCTAAAACTTGCACGTTAAAAAAGGGATCGGGCAATATAAAAATTAGATCTAAAGAGAACAAGCTATTTGATACATGTACCAGTGACTGAGTTAAACAAAACACAATTCGGAAAAAGCTTGGCATTCGATTCCTTTCCTCCGAATTTTTCGCTAAATCATTGCGGATGTTTCCAACGCCAACAATGAGGTCAAGTGCCGTGGCCAACGTGTGTCGGCCTTTTCATCAAGACGTAAATATGTTTTGTTACAACAACAAACAAAGAAAGAAACCAACACATTTCACTATTTTGCCCGTGGTGTTCGTGCGAGCCCAGTGCCGCGGCCTGCCTGCGGGATGATGGTGATGCGCGACCGCAGATCATGAAGGCCGATGCGCGAAATGTCCACCCCGTCGATCGCGATGGCTCCGCTGGCCGCCTCGACCATGCGCAGGAGGCAGAGCGTCAACGACGATTTCCCCGCGCCCGTGCGGCCCACGATGCCCACCTGCAGCAACAACCATCAACAGCTACTGCCACTCGAGTGGAATCGGCCTGTGCGGTCGATTAAGTCTCGAACTTTGACATTTGTTTACGCAGGAAAGCCTCGCCAAGTCGCAAGACTCTTTTTAGCAGGGTCCTGATAGCTTGTGCAATAGGTGAATTTCTACGGGTTTTGCTAATCCAGGATGCCTGCATACAAGATACATTTTCTTCTTGTAATATCACGTGATCGTTTACGTCTACTGTGAAACAGACAGAACACTCCTGCATTTAGCCATTCGGATGTTTGGCCAATTCCAATGTATTATTGTGAAGACGGTGGTAATTAGACTCAGAATCTTTATTTAGACTACAGGAGGAATCCAATGAGCTATGAAGCTCTTTTTTACAGATTTTCAATAGGGGCGGGTCAGAACGTTACAATTGTAATGGTGGTCGTGGTGGTGATAATCGTAGTGGTGATGATGAATTCAGTATTTGTGAATGGGATTATGGTTGCAATAGTGCTGGTAATGGTGGTGATAATAATGGAGGTAGTATTAATGATGGTAATTGTGATCATGGTGGTTAACATGGCAGTGCTGTTGCTGCTGCTGATATGGATGATAATGTTATTGATGGTGGTTGTGTAATGACAGCAGAGATGATGATGGTTGTGGTTATGAATGTTAAAATCGTGTTTACAATAATATTGGAGGTGGTTGCGGAAGAGATGACGGTATTGATGATGATGGTGGCGCAAACAGTTTTAAACATGACAAAATGCTTTGAAGTGCTATGCAAGCGAATGTGCATGACTGTGCGTGAAAATGTCAGATTTGTAAAAAAATGAGAACTCCACCACGCACAAATACTGTACTGGGTATGAACGTTTCATTGGTTCAGGGGCGACATGTGACAGTCGGATATGTGACGCTGCAATGAAGTCGAGGTGGTTTACGAACAGTGGTGCTAGCAATGACGAGCACAGCGATGGCAACCGGTGCTACCTTTTCTCCACCCTTGATGTCACAGCTGATGTTGCGTAGAACCAAATCGAGTCCCTCGCGGTAGCGTGTGCTGTAGTCACGGAACTCCACATGGCCCTGTGATGGCCAGTCCGCGGGCGGTCGGCACGACTCCACCTCCCAATCCGCCTGCACATGCCAAAAAGATTTCCTTGCACTCTACGATGCTCAGTCTGTGTTGTCCGAAGATCAAATGAGCACCCGCCACCCGAATTTGACACTAAATTTCTCTGTAGGTGACATATTGGAAAATTGCCTCAGAAGAGGACCCGAACAGAACTATTTTAGAACTCACTTTTTCTTGTGCATCTCTTAACATAATCCGATACAGTAACCATTTAAGCATTAATCCGCCCTTACCAAATTCTAGCGACCAGCTACCGCATAGCCTGCAGCCAATATGGATCTCATGTCAGAATATGGCCCTGGAAGATGATGTCAAAGAACTCCTTCTGAAGTCCCTTAAATAGACCTCTTCGTCCATACGAGGGGCATTTGATATGCCATGCTAGGATTATTCGTCACATGTCAAATGTGGAATAGCCACATTTAATATTGTGTTTTTTTGTGCAGTCATTGGTGACCGAGTTTAGACCATCGACTTGCTACAATTTAAAACTGGGGTTTTAACGCAAGCAGCTAAAACCAAGATTTAATCCTAGCATCTCAGTGGTGCAGGTTCAGCACTCTGGCCCCAAAACCAACTGGCCACCCCAAATCAAATTTTCTCATAAACGAAATTGCAACTTTTGTCAGACACCCCCCCAATATATAGGCACATAACTACAAAACAAATACTGTTTGTATTGTTGTGCTGTGTGCTTCTTTAGGGATTCCACGTGAAGCCTTCCCTGAGCCAACCTCAGGCGGAGTCTCGGAGTACTCCTTGACTCTCTCCACAGCCACGATATTTGACTCCACCTCTGATGACATCCGGACCATCCAGCTCATCACCACCGTCACCTGCAGGAAGCATGAAGGAGATGCATGTGCGTGAGTGAGGACTGCCGTCAGATACAACAAACAATGTTGGGATGGTTATTTATATACACACGATCAGGAGGTGATTACTGATATCGGAAAGTTTTAGAAGTAACGTAATGTAATATAGAAATGTACGGGTAGTCCTCTACTTAAGATGGAGATGCGTTACGACGACCCCATCATAAGTCGAAAATATCGTAAGTCGAAGATGGCCTAGCCTACCCAGGAGTCTTAAAGAATGGTGATAATTTAGCAAAACAGAGCAACTTACAGTACCGTACTGTATAAACTATATACTGTATGTATATATTAATTACACTACTGTATTTGCACAGTAAAATGTAAAGTAAAAAAAAAGAAGGTAAATTCTTAGCCTACCTATATGAACTGCAATTTAATGGAAAGTTTTTTTCAGGAAACAATCCTATCTGCTATAAAAAAAAACTTTTAACATGCATTGAACGTATGTATCGTATCGTGGTAACCCTAAAATGAAATCGCTAAAGCTACGTATCATACATGCACTGAACGTATCGTAACGTACAGTATCGTACCTCGTACGCTGCTGCGTTTGCCTGCCGCGCGAAATTTAAAATATTTCACAATTTTGCCGTATCACTATCGCCATCGTAAGATCGAAATATCGTAAGTCGGACCATCGTAACTCGCGGACTATCTGTATTTGATATTAAATCTTGACTTACAGCTTTCATGATTGCAAGAATTCATACTCTTTGGGTTTTTCGGTAAAGTCACTTATTTGATATTCCCAAAGGAATGTAATCCACTCAACATGTATGTTTTCAGAGTCAATACGATGATTCGCAATTGTCTTTTTGGTGAGGCCAAATAATAATCTGGCAAAATGTGTATCTGCTCTCTAGCGTTGGTTGTGAGGATTGTTCTTCAATGAACCACTGAGCCATAACAATAATAATTGACACGTTATGCACTTGTAGACCACGTGACAACTTCATCTGTTTGACTATGTCGCGTGGTGGAGGGCCTCATGACAGGAACTTGGCCAATATGAATCATAATGTAATCCAATGTATTACTCTTGAATACATATAACAATATTAACAATAACATAACAATAATCAGTGTCATCAGACCTCCATTGCCAGTACCAAAATGTAATAATAATAGGGTTTTTCCCCTTTTTTTTGGAAACAAAACTGAAACCTTTTTACAAGGATTCATGTCTGCATTAACCACAATACCTGCAGTCAAAATGCAAACAAAAAACATACTATGCATTTTCACTGCAGGTATTGTGGTTAATGCAGACATGAATCCTTGTAAAAAAAGGTTTCAGTTTTGTTGCCAGAAAAAAGGGGAAAAACCCTATTATTGTAATAATCAGTGTTTTCATAAATAGCGTCTATCATGCAAACTGCATCTCCCAACACTGCACAACCACATCATACGGAGTGCTTATACATCTGGGGAAAAAAAAACACACACACATAAGGGGGCAACACTCTATACCATAACAAATGGAACAGATGGAGATTAGTCCACACATGCTGTACTGCCTTCTCCTGGCAAACCGGGGTATGGCACCTCCTTAACGCCCACAGGAAGGGAGTTTTGCAACATCGGCGTGATCCACAAACCTCGCTGCCTGCATAGTACTGGATTACAGGTCAAATGCATAGGCACCACCGCCTGATATAGGGGGGATCTTTGGAATGAGGTGAGAGCACAGTGGTAGGCATGTCAACCTGCATGGCATAAGAAACGGAGAGGCCCACGGTCCCCGCCTTCAGGGAGTCGCGGCTCAGCACAGCAAACATAGCGGCGAACAGCACCACACAGGCGCCCAGGAACTCTAGCCACACGGCCAGCCACCTGCACTTGCACAGACACACAGACACAATTACATACAAACACGCGAACACCATTACATAAACATACAAAAAAAACACAGACACCATTAACTAAAACACATGCACACCATCATACAGAAACATGGGCACACACAGATACTTATATGTCCTGCACTGTATATACGCAAATACGTATGCTATGCCACTGGCTACATGAATCAAACTGCAGCCCTGCAATTTCTTGCTCAGGCCACTGCTGGCAGATGGGCCTTCCACTCGAGGGACTCTAAGAGTGTATTTGGCCTACTCTTCCACACTTTACCCCACCACACTGTGACCTGCCGGTCGATTAACTTACGGTGTACCCATTTATACTGCAGGGTGGATAGAGGCGGGGGATTTAAGAAACTCGTCCAATTGTTTCAAATGCCACGCCGGGAGATTAAATGGAACCGGTGACCTCTAGACGGCAAGCACCACAAATGAACCACAAAACCCTGCTGATCTCATCAAGGAGCATAAACCATCACGCAAACTCTGGTTATGAGTTTCAAGTCAAAATTTAGCTTTTTGTCCTTTCCCCGCACCTCTGAGTAGCATGGTTTGGCTATGCACGGTGCGAAAGTAGTCCAACATTCGTAGTGGCACTGACCGTTCCACCGGGACAGCGAACCGTATCGTGGTGCGGAGCGATTTCCATCCGAGCGGCGTTTCCCGCAGCAACGCGGGTGCGGGCCGCGTCTGTACCTCTGGCTGACGATGCTGGGGTAGGATGTGTGCTGCAGGGCGTCGACAGCGCGGTCTCCCGCGATGACGAAGCGTTCCTCCTGGCGGAAAGCGCGCAGCGTCGCCGCTCCCGCCACGCTCTCGCCGAAGTGCGAGAAGACGGGCGAGCGCACCGTCGACTCCAGCCGCTTCAGCTGCCTCGACGTCGCCACGTAGAACCTCTGCCGATGGGCGGGGGGGGAGGGGGGCAGTTTCAGGTTAGTTTCGTTTTAACGAAGCGAGAACTCAAGGGGGCTAGGATAGTCTAATTTGCTAGTAAGTGGCCTAGGGCACCCAAAATGAGAAAAGCAATAATGTTAACAGAAGTTCAACAATGAAGCGAATAGATAGATGTGACAGAAAAGGCTTCTGAATTACATAAGAAATAAAAAAACAGTGCACGAACACGAATCAATATTGAAACAAACCGACTTCCGGGAATAAATGTTGTCATGGACAAGTTACTTTTAAAAAATATTCAGAAACATCAACATCAATTGTGAGAGAAATTATCATAAATAATTTACAGATTAGCATCAAATTGTGATTTAGATAGGACAGTAAAAGAAGCCATTTTTGAAGCAATTAAATTCTAGGGAAAGGCTCTAAGATTGGCAGGAGTTTAGAGGAGCAGGCAGTGGTGCATTCAGTTCCATTGCCACGGCACCCATGCCAAGCTATGTGCACTTTGAGACCACATGGCCATGGTGAAGATTCATCACAGATTAATGAGTGACATAATTCTACTGCTGCAAGATGATTGTAAGTGAATATCATTCATACATTTCTCTTCTGTGAAAGAGTACCTACTGCGGTATATGAAATATTATTGGTTTGACACAGTCAGTTAGGATTTTGATGGACAATCAACCCATTCTGTGCTGAGAAGCTGGCCTTAATAGGTGCTTGCTAACAGCACATGCCATTATAATATATGAAAAAAGGCTTGAGTGGCAATTTGTATCCTAACCTGACCTGGACTTACCCTAGGGTAACTGAAACCTGGATTGAAATAATTGTCTCACTCGGCCCAAAAGTCAAAGCGATTTTCTGCTCCAAATAGCATTGAGGCTTTGCTCATTCCTGTTTACAGTCCTGAGCCAGTGGTGGAAATTCTACATTGCTACGATGGGGGCAAGTCGATCCAGAGGGCGACCACCGTCGACTTCTGCACAAAGTGAGAGGTAACAATTTGAGGAGGGGGAAGTGACCAGGGGAGGACGGAGGGAACGTGGAAGAGGTGCTGAGATGGATTTTGTTTGGTTTGCTTTCGTTGAGGACTCGGGGCAGACCTGCACGAAGAAGTAGATGACGACGAGGGGAATGGCAGCGACCACGAAGACCGGGGTGCTGATGACGATGATGAGGATCGTGAATATTGAGTTGCACAGGGCTCCCAGGAACATGAGGAATGTGGGCGGCAGCACCTCGTCTATCATGAACACGTCCTGCGTGCGGCACAGCACCATCACCACCACGACACTCGACCGTCAGTCACCGCGTAGAAGCAAAATACAACAATGGGCTTTGTTGGTCAGCCATGTGCTGCCCATAATGTAGGCCTGTAAGCCCTATAACAACCTGCCTTGTGGCCACCCATCTAAGCACAATCCAGGCTCAGGGCTGCTTAGTTTCTGAGCAGGCAATACCAGCCACATTCTGAGTGATTTAGTCACAGGGGAATAATATCAATAAGCTATAATTTACTTGAAACTCGTAGCAATTCTATGTATTTAATTTGCAAATGATACCTCTGCGCTAATGGTTCAATTGTTACATGCCTACCTTCCATCCCACCCAGGATGATACATCCTGGAGTCATGTCATCACACCCAGCCCAACTAAAATGTCAAACCTCAATCACCCAACAAATAAATTCAGGTGGACTCAGTGTGTCGGAAGGAGTGGTCCAATACCAGGATCAACTATAGGCGGCAAATGCCCAGCGCCAAAGTTCTGTGCAGAGTTTGGATGTTCTCCCCCGTTGCGCTGTAGTTTCTTCCAGGTTCTCCGGTTTCCTCCCAGAGATTAAAAAAAAAATGATATTGGCCAAACATCCTAATGCTGAAAAATTACCTGCAGCTCCCTCAGTGGGGATTACACGCAGCAGCAGCATCGCAAATTACTGTAAAAACTTGGCAGGACTCTCCTGAAAAAGAGCTTTGAGGCTATCCTGGGTAAACAAGTGTTACAATAATAATAAGCAGTAAACTCCATCCGCTTCTCTTAGCCTCCGCACCTTAGAGAAGCGGTTGATGATTCGTCCCAGAGGCGTGACATCGTAGAAGGAGATTGGCGAGTGCAGTTTGTTATCGAGCAGTGCAAGGTGCAGGGAGCCGGCGGCCCGAAGACACCCTTTGAAGACCATCAGTACCATCACCAGGGACAGCACACCTGGCGTGTGGAGGAGGGTGGAAATGTTGATACATCGTGATGATCTCCTTTATTTCGCCAGGGTAGCCGGTGACGGACTAAAAGGGGCATTGGTGGTGCAGTGCTCTGTACACTGTTATCTGAAACCTCGACTCTCACATTTGGTGGTATGGTTTTGTCCTTATTCATTTAATGTCTTGCATGGTCAGTGTAAGGTTCCATTTGATTTATTTAATCTTTACATTCCAGCACCCTCTGACCGAATCACCCAGAATGTGCCCCATCGTATCATACCTCGAAAGCTAAGCAGGTTTGAGCGTGGATAGTGTTTGGACGAGCGACCACCGTGCAGTCAACGAATATTTGTCGCCTGCTGCGGAGCCACATTGAGGGCAGTGCAAAAAACCCCATTGTTGTACTGTATTATGTTACCAGATCTATGCTCCACGCCTTCACCATCAGTTTTCCACGTGTGTTGTCTAGCAACACTTTTTGACGACTTTAGGTCAATCTAGTGACATCTGGTAACTCTTCAAGGTTCGTTTGGTGACTTTCCACTGCGGGGAGTTGGAAACTGGTGGAAAACTCTCCCATCGCCTCTTTCAGATCAGACTCAGAATATTTATTTCCACTGGAGGAATCCGATGAGCTATAAAGCTGTTTATCACAGATGTCCAGCTCTTTTTCACAGATTTTCCCGAGCTCCTATAACCTTGCTCAACTCAAGAGACGTGTTACCAACTCCTACCCGTTGCAAGCTTTAGAGTTGCTGCTCTTCGCTGGGCCCGCTTGACATCTATGGGCCTTTGGCGCCGGTATCTAACAATCGTGCGGACGTATTAATCAATTACGTCGGGGTTTTATTTTCCTCCCCAAGCGGCTGCAAGGAGGTGGGGGGGGGGCTGTGAGCGCTCACTCTGCACGGCGCCCAGCGCGGAGTAGACGCCGAGGCGGTAGCCCGTGTTGCGCTGCGTGCCGTTGACAACGGGCTCGCCCGCCCACTCGCTCAGCCACACGTTTGTGCCCAGCATGGTGGTGTAGTTGGCGCAGAAGAGGAGCAGCGCGAGCGTGGATAACGGCGCGCCGACCGCACGCAAGTAGTGAAGCACCACGGAGAGCTTCATCTGCACGACGCACGGCGGGTGACGGTGGACGTGGCGGTTACACGATCAGGAATAATACTCTACGTAACAGCATTCTATTGCGTTTAATATACATGATGTACTGCATGACAGCATTCTATTGCATTCAATATGCATGATGTACTACATCTCTTCCCAAGTGTCTGGCCAGGGTCTCAGCGGTGAACCCTGCATCGACCTCCATCTGCCCCCGATAACGGAAGCCGCCACGTACATGTCCCGTCTCCATGCTCTCGGGCTGCATGAGTGTGCTTCCGGGCAGCGTCTCTTTGTGTCCCCGCGTCTCCGTGCTCACACCCTGGGTTGTACCAGAGCCACTTGCTTCTTGCGACCCCAACTGCCTCAGCGAGATGTGGTGCATGGACAGACGCTTTCCTCCATCGCCCTCGCTCATCGATTGCTTGCTGATCTGCCTTTGGGTCAGCAATGCACAAAACATGAATTCATTCGTTCATCTGTTCACAAAGGAATCGTAACATGTGAATTTAGCCCGAGGTCAAGAAGTCATAACGGCCAATACTTTCATGTCAACACACATTTCCAACACTTATGGCACCCTCTTTCTCTTTATACAACACATGAATGAATAAGACTCATTTCCCAAGGATGCCAATGTCCCACTAATCATCTTGAGATATGCTTGCATATATCTCACTTCGAGAGGATTGTACGGTTGTGGGCAGCACTTTCTAAGTATGATTATGATGAGCATACTGGGGTTAGGTGCCCGACAGATTCGTCACCACAGCATGCATTGGCCATGAAGTCGTGTTGTTGGGTGTGGTGTACCTCATGAGCATCCTCCGAGGTTCTGTCATCACCGGCTCCATGTCGGCGATGTTCGAACACGTGCTGAGCACCTCATCCGGCCCCGGGGATCGCAGGTCAATGATGACTGCAGGGAGGCGACATAAGGACCCTCATCAGATGAAGAGCCTCGTGCCGAGCGTGTGGGTGTTCAACGTGTCATGTCAGTCGTCGGCGATCTTTATATTTACATATGGGTCCTGAGATGATTCAGAAGACCGATCTTGGAACCACAAACCCGCTGCCCGCAGAACGCACATGGACACACAGCCAGAGGTGGTTTGGTCGCATGAGTTTGATAAGACATGCAGGTGCAGCCCCATGGCTTGCAGAATATGGCAATACAAGGAGATGGTGAGGGACTCGGGGGTCAGAACAGCACCACTGAGATACTAGGTTCGAATCCAGATTTCAGTCACCCATGAAGTCAATTTGGTTCTCGAGTGTAGTGAGATCATGGTCTCAGCCTGGTCACAGGTGACTGCACAAAAAAACACAAACTTTGGATTTACTTATATTGGCAGAAATTGCAGCTCAGAAATTGAATATATCAGATTGACTTCAAAAAAAACATACGTTTTTACAGCAGTACGTGAGGGGGGAGGGCAGTGCCCTTCGTGTGAATTAGAGGGCACCTGAATGGACCTCAGAAGTACTGTAAATGATATCTGCTTGCATAGGCCATTTCATTCTCCAACACATGGTGATGAAGTGTCATGTCAGTCAACAAAGCAAAGCACCCATTAATGAATTGGTCAAATATTCCAATGGAGGACCTTTCTGGATAAAAATTCTGAAAACTCAATCATATAAATAATAGGCAATGTTATTATCGACATACACGTGGTTATTCACTAAATTCTGCCAGCCCTAGTTCTCAAAAGTAATAAATATATACATATATAATAGATACATGACATGCACTGATCCCAGCTTCACACAGCATGACTCATTCAGAGGTTCAATTCCTAGTCAGTAATCTACTCGGCCTAAAATGTATCAGGGATCAATAAAATGTTGTGGGAATTCACCTGTGGTCATCCTATAAATGAACTAGCTCCTGTCATGGGAATGTAGACTTGCCATCACTGGCTTAAGGGGTCACTGATTGTGTGTTGAGCACTAGCCTCTTGCCTCTCAGGGAGACACTTTTGACTCTTAACTGCCGATTATCGTTTCAGGCCTTGCCATCTTACCGTGAGGCCCGTCATCCTGACTGGCCGGGGAGTCCTCTCCCGCGCCGTCTCCCTGTCCATGGATCCTCAGCAGCTCCGAGAAGGCCTCGCCGCTGAGCATGAGCTCCGAGTACGAGCCGCTCTCGGAGACGCGGCCCGCTCTTAGGACCACGATGCGGTCAACGTGGGGCAGGAAGCTCAGGCCGTGAGTCACCAGCACCCGCGTCTGGTGGAAATGAACAAAGGGCAAAGAGAAGTGAGGGCAGTTGGGTGAAGGATCACATCTGACTTGTTATGGAACGGCTCTATCACTCATCTGCTGCAGTAGACATTGAAGAAGCTTGTTTTATTTTCCGTGCCAAAGCCTCTTTAATTCAACAACTATTATTACTATACAAAGCACGTGTTTGGCTGAAGTTAAAACACTGTTGCCATACCTGGGGAGCAGCACTCAGTTCCTACCTCACTTTACTTGATATTGTTCAATATAAAGCAGTCACGTTAAATGACAATGCAATGCATCACGCAATCCATGCGTGTGCATGATGTCCCCTGGCCCGTTAACTGTGCGGCGTGTGCGGCGTGCGACGGGAGCGCCGTGCGTGCGTGCACCTGGCCTGCCAGCAGCCCCGAGGGCCCGATGACGCGCTCGAAGATGTGCTTCCCCACGTGTGCATCCACTGCCGACAGAGGGTCGTCCAGCAGGAAGACGGACGCCTTGCTGTAGATGGCACGAGCCAGAGACACGCGCTGGCGCTGGCCCCCAGACAGGTTGATGCCCTGTAGGACCGAAGAGTCAACCCATAAAACGAAGCATTCATCACCTGCTTCACAATTTGACTGCCAATTATGGGGGCAGCCCCCACCCCCCACCGGCCCCCACCAAGGGGAGACCAGGGCAGTCACCGCCTCCCCGCCCGAACCTTGGTAAGGCAGTGAATTAAACTGATGATGATAGTAATGATGCTGATGTTAATGATTATCTCAATGACGATTATGCTACTGTTTATGATGTAATGTTGATAATGAAAACAGTGATGTTAATGACAATGGCAGTTATGATTACAGCATTGATTATTGCATTTGACCCTGACACTGCTGCCATTTCTGATTTTTTTAATGCTGCTGATGATAATGCTGATGATAGCATGAATGATGATGGCGTTACTGCTGCTAATGATGATTATTATGACACTGCCATTTATTCTGCTGCTGCCACTTTTGTTTTTGCTAGTATGATGAGAATCTCTTTTATTGTTCTTGCATGCTGCTTCGTGAACTTGTCCAACTTTGAAAGCCACGTGACAGCTTTAGTTCAGGCTGAATGAATTGCTGCTGCTGCTATGGTGGTTCTGTTGCATTTGCAAAGTAGGTAGCAATCTCTACAGTTCAGAGCATCATCACTGTCATAGCAATGATCACGACGACGACGTTTCCTCCACCGCACCTTCTCCCCGATCTCTGTGTTGTCTCCGGCCGGCAGGGCGAGTAGGTCCTGCTCCAAGGCGCAGGCCTGCAGCACCTCGCGATACCACGTCTCGTCCAGCGGCCGCCCAAATAGCACGTTGTCCCGCAGCGAGGCATTCTGGATCCACGCCTGTTGGGCCACGTACGCCACCTGGCCCTGCGCGAGCACGACACCCGTGACCAGAGAAACAGGCAATGGCCAATCGCTAAATTTGCCTCGTCACCTCCGATTAGTATGGTTGCCTATGTACGGTGCGAAAGAAGTTAAAAAAACATATATACATCATTTGTGCAGCTGGGATATCCAATTATGTAAGGAATTGTTTTTTTCAACGGTTATCCATTTGATCGCTCGACTCGAATAACGCAGAAAATAGTCCCGGGAAAAAAAGCTCACCTCGGCACCATGTGTCGCTGGACAGGAGGTGATGGGTGGGTGGCTTGCTTAATCGACTAATCATCCATGTCTAGTCACTGGGATTTGAGTAGGCCTGTAACGATTGGTCACCTTCAACCTCCCCGTAATGTGTCACAATTCTGGCATACGATTTGATTTAATAATTCATTATTTTTGTCTCGTTTATATTACCCTAAAAATCAGTTTATTCCCATTCATGGTCAACTTAGCTATTCCAGCTCTTGAGGATGGAAATTCTTTGTCTTGATTGCCACAGAACACATTCCCCTTTGCATGGAATATGATAAGATGTTCGGATACCCAGTGTGGATACAAAACGTTTTGAAGTGACTTCAGACGGACTTCTGCGATGTGAGATTTTTTTAGATGTGGAAGGAAAATGGAACACCTGGAGGAAAACCAGCACATGGGCCCGTAGGCTCCACATCACTTGTCTCAACGATCCACCAACCCCACCTTCAAAGTGCCGGCTTATAAAGAGGTGTGCACCCCCACGGTGGTCAGAAATGAGAGGTGGGAGCCAGGGATATTTGGGGAGGACAGGATTGGGGGTGGGGGGTGGAGGGGGACATGTTAGTTGTACCTTCACTGCCACTGAGCCACCCAACTTGTTCAGCTCCCCGAGAAGTGCAGCCATGAGCGAGGACTTCCCGCTGCCCACGGTTCCGACCACAGCGAGGAGGCAGCCGCGTGGCACAGCCAGGGAGATGCTGCAGGGCACAAGGTAGCACGACAGCAGGGGTGCATGGTAGAGGAGTGACACAGCAAGAAAAGTAGGGTGCACACACGTAAGGGATGGTGCGGCAAAGTCAACATGAACTTTCTTAATAGAATTCAATCACAAGTTGATGATTCAGTGCCGTCTCCATCTCCTGCCTCTCTCGGCATCGTTTGTTGCCGGCTCCTGGACATTCCACTGGGTACGCGTATGGGCAGTGCCCTTCTGAAGCCTCTCGTTATTGCTTCTGTCTGTGTGTCAGCCTGGCTGCGCTACTTACCGCTACTCATCCAACCCTGTGAACTGCACTTATTTACCGATCTGCTGCAGACGCGCATCAGCAAACCAACTTCCTACGGGACATCTTTCAGCCTCCTTTCATCCCGATCACCACTCTCAGCCTGCATTGCTGGCAGCGGAGTTTTTTTTTTGCCGAGCACAGTTCCAAAGGCCAAAAAACATCAAGCGGCCAGCAACAAACGGCTCTATCGAAAGTAAAATAGATAAGGGTTAACACTGTACATGTCTTGATTGAGCAAGATTATAAGAGCCTGGGAAAGCAGATCATGGAAGGGAATCGAGCAGTACGAGGGGAGAAACAGAAAGAGAAGTGCTGTGACCTGCAATTTGGTGGCTGAAGACAATACGGATGAGACAAAGCAGTCGGCCTGGTGGACCGAGTCCTCAACGTGGGTGGAGGGTTATGCTCACAAATCGCAACAAATCGCTTTTGTCAAGTGACTTTCAATACAAAAACAAGTGTCACTAACACGACAAACACTTACTCATGGAGGATGGGCGGCTCGTCCCAGCTCCACGTGAAGGTCCCTCCTTCGATGGACACACAGCTCTCTGGGAAGAACAAGCGTGAGCCATGGACACACAGTCAAGTATTGCGAAATCTTTACCCACGGACGCCTCACTAATACCTCCATTCCATGGGCAGTCGATTCGGGTCACCTCAGGTTGGATTGATTTATCCCATAACTGGAGGCGATGAGCAACTCAAGTTGTTTTGGCGTTTCCACGACTTTCTGAATTACGGTATTTATCACTTGAGTGAATGAGTCTGATTCATAATGTGCACAGAAGTTATGCTGCGAGTCACTAACATAAACCAGACGTGTTGAAAGCTCTTAACCAGGAATCCTTCCAACAAAGGATTTTCTCACGATATATAAGAGGTGACGAAACGTATTGCTTACAAAATTAAACGCTGCACGATGGGCTATGCGTTGCCTTCACCAATAAAAATTCTTGGAACATATGGTTTTATGACCATTAGTTTTTTGTATAATATGATATGATCATGTCACCCCTGCAGCCAGCAGGTACTAAAATCACTGCTGTGATGATTGAATTGAATCACAACCCTGAATTGTAATTGTTCAAATCCCTGGGAGGAGGAGGGTGAACTATTCCACTTTTTACTGGGGAGACATTTCGAAGCTGATCATTTAACGATCCTGAGTAAATGTTCAAATGTGGCTGGAGAAGCAGAAAAGTAGGCAGGCGAGTGTCTGACCACGGAGATGGGAGGGTGAGCGATCCACGGCATGCGGATCCAGCTCCTCCAGACTGAGGAAATTCCTCAGGCGACGTAAGGACACACTCGCCTGTGAGCCGCCCAGCACACACACAAAAAACCACAAAGTCCTCCCCATTTAGTGTTATTGACTATGTACGTGTGTTGAACGTCTATCACGCCGCATGTAGCCAACCGTGCTAATCGGAGGTGCGGAAAATCGCTGTTAGCGAGTACCCAGAAGGCTGATGCTGCACAAGAGAAGGTGTGGTTCAGCGTGGTTGGCGTGGACCTTGATGCAAGGAATGAGATGCCCCCCCCCCCACCCAATGACCCCTCCCTCTTTGTATCCCAGTGCCATGGCCCCTCTGGTGGATGAGCGCCGGTGCAGCTGCGCCTCCCACCCACTCGATAGCTACGCCGCTCAGGCAGAGCCATGGCTTGCCGCCTTTGCCAGTCAAATGCTCATGTCGGTAACACCGTAAATGTGTATTAATTTTAGGATGTATCGATCCAGAAGAGTCGCAAATGAGGCCGGATTACAATTAACCCAGTAATTGCACATAATTGCCAGGAATTGAGCCTGGGTCACTTGGATCGCAGTGGAGTGCATTAACCACTGCACCACTCTTTAGAAAACATGTGCAGCAGGCATTGTGACAGAAGAGGGAAGTGCAGCAAATTTCACAGTTTTGTTCTCCACTCTCCTCACCTTCACCAACCTCCACTGGACTGGTCAAATAACCCTCATTGCCAACATGGCATGGGGAGAATCCATGTAAAATTATGCATGATTTTTTTACTGAAAGTATTATTTTTAGAATTCATTATTTGTACATATCAACTACTATTGTATCGCTTGAATGAGAAGTGCCTCAATGAAAACGCCTGCTCCTGGTTTGGAGTTTGTGCCACAGCTGCCTCAGACTGGTTCTACAGGTGTGGCTCCTCACGAGGCGTGGCTGCTGCTCTGTGATAGCGACAACAGGAAATCTTTCAAGGCTGGTTCTGAGAGCAGGTGGGTGTGTGTGCTCGCCCGTGACAATGGCCCAAAGGAATGGCGCAACCTTCCCACACACTCTCTGGTCATCTTCGCAGCAGCGGCTTTTAGCGAAACCGTCGAACAAAGACAGTCGCCGCATCGCTCCCTTTCAGATTCGCGTCTGTGGCCATCTGGAACGCTCTTCCTTCCGAGATTAGGGAGCCACTGGTGCTATGCACTTTTAAATCTAGATTCAAAACTAATTTTCTTTTGAACAGTTTTTTGTGTTTAGTTTGTTGTCCTTCCCCCGCATCTCCGATCAGCATGGTCGGATACGTACGGTACAAAAGAAGTTCAACATACATACATACGTACATTCATCGGGCTGTTAAGTGTGTTATGCCTATACAGATTCTGAGCGGACAGGTCTGTTTGCAGGGTACTCAGACAACTGTAACGATCATGTTTTCGAAATCGCGCTTCAGTCTGTTGTCAAACATAAATACAACATACACACAATTACAAAACAACACTCTTTCGTTGAGCCTTATGGATCGAAACAAATCCTGTGCGGTTAGCGATCATCTCCTAATCCTAGCTGCCTTTGTCTCCCCCGGTGCTGTTTGACACACCACACTGGTTACATACCATGGCGAGTTCGCTCATGAGCTGAGGCAGCTGATTGAGGGGGTATCGCAGAAGGTTAAAGAGCGCCAGGGACACGAACGCCCTCTCTGCGTCCAGCACGTGGTGTTCGTCCACCAACACGTACACGCCGAACGATGCCAGCGCCACCTAAAAAAACACACAAGCTCAATGACTAACAACACAATGCCACACGCAGCAAGAGATGCGTTTGTGACCAAAGCTACCCTTGGCCCTCCCATCAAGCCTTGCATGTCATGCTACATCACCATACCGCGAGTATAATGTACACATGCTCGTTATAAGCCACCGATTTGAAAGAATATAAATTGTGGCCAACTGGCGATGATATTTAGACTCTGCTGTGTGAGATTAATATTTTAAGTGCCCATTGGATGGCAGTTGCATAAAATAACAGAAATGGGATTGTCCCTTGTATTATAAATTAAAACACTCGCCATTGAAGTAAACAACTACATTATCAACATTTTAAAACTGGGAGGCCTTCGTCCAGCAGTGGATTGATCATGCCCCGTGATTATTTAAATTACGAGGGCAAGCGCTGATACAATCGCCCGTGCGCTAACTGTGGCCGGGAATATACGCGGGGTGCCGGGCTCCAAAGCGCGGCGAGCCTAAAAAACCGCCGCACCGCCCGCCGCGTTCAGGGATCGCTCGCCCCCCCCCCCCCCCCCCCCCCCGTACCAAAAAGGGAGAGCAGAGCCAGGTGAACGCGGAGAGCATGGAGAAGTAAGCAGCGCGCCCGAGCACGGCGAGCTCGTGCTCGCGCACTCGCAGGATGACGTCACGGAATCGCCCCTCCCACGCGTACATCTTGATGATGCGCACGCCCGACAGGGCCTCGCTCAGGGTGCGCACGCGCTCGTCGCGCTTCTTGATAATCTGAGCCTGCGGCGGCAAAACGCACGCGTGGGGCGAGTGCCGTTTCCGTGGCCTCGATTCAAGCGACACAGTCGGTGCTAAAGTGAAAAGTTTAATGGTAAACAGCGAGCAGAGAGCGTAACGGATATCATATTCCGTCGTTTGTCTATTGTGCATTCTGCCTTAGCTGCCGAACATGGAATCATAATCCCAACTGGTGTTAAATATTGCACCAAATATATTTGACTTCATTATATGGGAAAGGGGTTCAGCCCCCTCCAGCTATTGCAGTGCTTCTGACTTTACATTATTCCAGCATGCATAGCCGAGGGATGGTCTGCACCAGGGTTTTTGAACTTGTGTTTCGCCGAGAGATATAGTTTGTCGAGACATAAAGAAACCTGCATTGGTGAGATGAAAGTGAGATAGACATGAGACTTTTCTATTTCTTCTAGATTAAGAGTCGTCATTCGTACCTTCCCATCCCATTGTCTCCATTCTCTCTCTGCCTTGCATTATCCTACTACCTCATTCCCTCTCCTCGATTTTTTTTATTTGATGCTCTTGCTTTACACATCACCTCAATATTCTTCTACACATCTTGTACAGCGCCTTGGGTTGCAGCCATACGTATATGCTTCACAAATAAAACATTTTACGTGTTTCATTAAATGGTACGCACCTGCAGAGTCCGGATGTTGAGCGCGATGAAAGCATTGAAAGGTATCAGCAGCAGCATCACGGCCACCCCCGCCAGCACTGATGGTCCTAGATGCTAAGATAGCAGCACAACAGTGATTTGTTCCCCCAAAAGTATTACCAGCATCGTTTCATGGGAATCACAAGGTGTTCTTAATACTTGCGAGAGCATCGCATAGAACCCTGGGTAATAAAATAGCCCCCTACTGCGAACATTTGGCAGGACCCTCCTGAAATAGTCTTGAGACTCATTGAGGTTTTCTAAGTAAACAAGTGGAATACTGTATTCTTGGTTCTTTCGGTAAAGTCACGTAGAAGGGAAACAATAAAATAATAAAAATATAAAACAATAAAATAATAAAAATATAAAACAATACAATTCTCACGACGTTTCGACTGCAACACAAGCAATCATCAGGTGTGAAAACCACAGCAAGAAAATTTGAAAAAAGTGGCGGGTTTTTTTTTTACGTTAGCACCACGGAGAGTGATTTGGCAGTTATTCAGATGGACGAGTCGATCTATGTTCGGAAGAGGGGGGAGACGAAAATAATGGATGCGGGCTGAAAGCTACCGTAAGCGTGAACAATCAATTAAGACCCGATATGGTTTATCAAATCCTTCCAATGATTGCTAAGCCAGAATCCATCTTCTCGGTTGACATTGTCTCTGTGTTTGTATATGTGGATAGCCTCATGAACAAATCTCTCATGGTAGCCAGATGGCTTGCAAAGAACCTCTGTCTTGGAGAAGTCAATGTCATGTGAGCCTACTGGATTATAACAGTGATCTGCCACGGCCGAGGTGTTGGTCCTACCGTGTTTTAGGTCTGCTTTGTGTTCACGAATGCGGTCCGAGACATGTCGTTTGGTTTCTCCAATGTAACTACTACCACAGAGGCAACTTAGTTTGTAGACGCCAGGGTACTGTATGTCCGGAATCACATCTTGTACAGACAAAACCAGATCACGGGTTTTATGTAATGTGTTGAATCGGACCTGGATCTTGTGTTTATTCAAGATTTTGGAGATATTTTTTGTGATCCCCGCAATGTAGGGTAAAGTGATGGTTTTGAAAGGCTCCTCAAGAGGGTCCATCTTCATGGTTGGAGTGATAGCTTTGTGGATTGTGTAGCCGGAGTAACCATTAGCCTTAAGAGCTTGGTGTACGTGCTTGAGTTCACTGCCTATGTGTTCCTGGTCGGATATGCATTGGGCTCTATGGTGCAGAGTCTTGGTGAGGTAATTCTTCTGGGATGGATGGTGGTGGGAATCCGGTTTCAGGTAAGCATCCGTATGGGTAGCTTTCCTGTAGACAGAGTGGCTCATTGAACCATCAGGTCTCTTTTTTATTAGGACATCCAAAAAAAGGTGGCCTGGCAGTAGAAGGTTTCAACGAGAACTGTTTGGTTTGATCAATTATTGCGGTTTAATCAGAAATTATTTTGTTGGTTTGTATGACGAGGCTGTTGGTGGGATCTCTTTTTATTTTTGGATAGCTGCCATCGTTGAGTAATTCTTGAATTTTATTATTATATTCTATTTTATCCATGATGACAGTGGCATTGCCCTTGTTGGCTGAAAGGATGACAATGTCATCCCTCTTTTTTAATTGATATAATTCAAAACGCTCATCTTTGCTGAGGTTGCTAGCTGGCCGTGGAAGATCACTGTTATAATTCAGTAGGCTCACATGAGATTGACTTCTCCAAGACAGAGGTTATTTGCAAGCCAAAAGATGGCAAGCTACCTTTTTTGGATGTCCTAATAAAAAAGAGACCTGATGGTTCAATGAGCCACTCTGTCTACAGGAAAGCTACCCATACGGATGCTTACCTGAAACCGGATTCCCACCACCATCCATCCCAGAAGAATTCCCTCACCAAGACTCTGCACCATAGAGCCCAATGCATATCCGACCAGGAACACATAGGCAGTGAACTCAAGCACGTACACCAAGCTCTTAGGGCTAATGGTTACTCCGACTATACAATCCGCAAAGCTATCACTCAAACCATGAAGAAGAACCCTCTTGAGGAGCCTTTCAAAACCATCACTTTACCCTACATTGCGGGGATCACAAAAAATATCTCCAAAATCTTGAATAAACACAAGATCCAGGTCCGATTCAACACATTACATAAAACCTGTGATCTGGTTCCGTCTGTAAAAGATGTAATTCCGGACATAGAGTACCCTGGCGTCTACAAACTAAGCTGCCTCTGTGGTAGTAGTTACATTGGAGAAACCAAACGCCATGTCTCGGACCGCATTCGTGAACACAAAGCAGACCTAAAACACGGTAGGACCAACACCTCGGCCGTGGCAGATCACTGTTATAATCCAGTAGGCTCACATGACATTGACTTCTCCAAGAAAGAGGTTCTTTGCAAGCCATCTAGCTACCATGAGAGATTCGTTCATGAGGCTATCCACATATACAAACACAGAGACAATGTCAACCGAGAAGATGGATTCTGGCTTAGCAATCATTGGAAGGATTTGATAAACCATATCGGGTCTTAATTGATTGTTCACGCTTACGGTAGCTTTCAGCCCGCATCCATTATTTTCGTCTCCCCCCTCTTCCGAACATAGATGGACTCGTCCATCTGAATAACTGCCAAATCGCTCTCCGTGGTGCTAACGTAAAAAAAAACGCCACTTTTTTTTCAAATTTTCTTGCTGTGGTTTTCACACCTGATGATGATTGCTTGTGTTGCAGTCGAAACGTCGTGAGAATTGTATTGTTTTATATTTTTATTATTTTATTGTTTCCCTTCTACGTGACTTTACCGAAAGAACCAAGAATATGAATCCCTGCAGTCACGAAAGCTTTAAATCAAAATTTAAGTGGAATACTATAATAATAATAATGATAAATAATAAACAGATATGTCTCCAGTAGTGACAATGATACCACAACAGGGTAGTGGAACCCTGGGTAATCATAGCATAACCAAAGGCAGATGAGTCTGTTGAGAGGAGTCTCTCAGGTGGTGGTGGTGCATGCCTGTAATCCAGCACTGTAAAGGCGGCGAGGATTGGTGGATCAGCCAAATGACAAAATGTCACGAGGCTTCCTTCCCACCGGCATTAAGGTACAATACCCTGGCTTGCCAGCTGCATGCAGTGCAGCAAATTGTAGACTGACATCATCTGTCCCTACTCTATGTAGAGTGTTGCCCCCTCACGTGCAGGGGTTTTCTCTGGGTGCTCCGGTTTCCTCCCACATGTATGAACGCTCACTAATTGGCTGATAACATCTTTATAGAAGGTAAACTGCAGAGCAATTTTTGACGCTGGCTCACCACCTGGCAGCCTATGAGCTTGTCTGAAGTTCCTCAGCGATTGTGAGATGCAATGTGCATGAATGACGCTACCTAAAATTTGAATTTTTTGGAAGGCAAAGAGCATGAACAATGCATCAGTTCATAGCTTACAGTTGATTCTAACAATATGTGCATTTATTTGTGAGGGTATGAATATATTATTTTTTTATTGTGTAAATTGTATGTAAATGATTCACGTGACCCCTGCAGCCACCAGATGCCCCGTACATTCACCAAAACACGAAAGTAAAAGGAATCTCGAGAGGGCGAATCGTTACACGCCATCATAGGCAATGCCCAGCGTCGAACCAACTACCCACCACCACAGCATGACATGAGCTTCAGATAGAAGAAAGCAATGGCGGGATGTGGTGGCATCACTGGCATTGGCCGTTAACACCTCACACCTTTCAGTCTATTTCTCCACCCACCTCATGCCTCGGGCCACTCAGAGGTTGAGACCTGAGGCAGAATGTCATGTGGGATCCTATCATTCCACTGTAGTGAATTGTGCGAATGTCTGTTGTGGGGCCCTCTTCTGTGTGTGGACCGGACCACATTTTTCCCCTTTTGCCACCTTCCTGGGCAGCCCTCCCCATGCCACCCCCGTCTCAGTATCAGAAAGTTACCTGCCAGAGGAAGTACATAGCCAGGCAGATGTGCAGAGGGGCAGACCACACAAAATTGAGGTTGTTGGTGATGTCGGCCATGTGCTGAACATCGACAGACATTAGGGTCGTCAGCTCCCCGCCAGCACACGACAATCGCGCGGCCTGTGTTATCATTAGAGCCTGTCGAGAGAAAAATACAACGCATTGAGTTATGTTTGCCATTTAGAACACTGGACGGTGATGATCGATATTGTTTGAAGCTGAAATAAAAGCCAATAGGATGAAAGACGAAACGTATTATTGTTGATATGTGGAGTGACAGAGCAGATATTTTCTTAAATTTGGTTTTATCCAATATGCTGTAGAGGAATGCATGAGTTTATCTAAATATATTTTTAAAAAGTCAAAATTTTTGTGTGTGTGGGTTTGTGGCGGGGTTTGTGTGTGTTCGTAAGCCCCGCGGTGAGCAAGCGCTATTCCTTTTTCACATCCGTCATCTTTTAATTAGTTTAATTAGCGATTTAGTGCGATTTTTGTGCGCTTCCCGTCTACGTATGTATTTATGACGCGTGCACGACCATACCAACTCACGCGCCTTTGGTGGGGGGGACGGCCCAAGCCAAATCACACGCCTTCGGTGGGAGTGAGGGGGACATTTTCTTTCGCGTTAAAAATGCTATAAAATACACTAAACGCTGACGTTAATTCTTCACTGTGTGATGTCCCCCCCACCCCGATGCATGCAGTTATTACTATTATACAGTCGCAGGATGCTACCACTATAGGCCGTAGATATTACTGCAGAGCGGCCGGGTAGATCGTGGCTGGGGGGGGGGGGGGGGGCAGGGGTAGCAACACAGCCCCAGCCTGCCAAGGTACCACCACGGCCGGCTGGACAATCTTGGCGAGGCCGGAGGCTCTGCACGGGACTAGGCCTCACCACGCCACTGTCAGGTGAGCACTCTATGCTATACAGTCGACAAATACTGCTATAGAGTCAGCAAGTACTACTGTAGTGATAGCAGGTACCACCACAGTCGGTATGCACTGCTGTAATCATAGCAGGTACCACCACAGTCAGTATGCACTGCTGTTAGATTTTTAAGAGTAGTTTTGAAATATGTTTTTGGCCCGGGCAACGCCGGGTATATAAGCTAATATACAATATAACATTTTGTGTTGAAGAGGACCCCATAGTTAAGATTGAGTGCTCTTGCCAAAAAATATCTGGTAACTCAACAGCATTTGTTTCAAAAAGCCAGAGCCTGAAGGTCAACACTGGTCCAGAGTTGGCTGAATTTTATTAAATGTCATTTATACTTTAAACACAAGAAATACAGGGAAGCACAGAGCCATTGTACATGACGACTGAACGAGCAACACAGACACGAGTAACCCTAGGAGCCCCTATCTGTGATATGTGAAACAACGCAGGAACAAGACAAAGATAAAATAGAGAAATGGAAAAATAGGCAGAGAAAGAAAAAAAAGTGATGGGCAATTAAGTGCACGTTGGGGTGGGAGGATCAATCCAGAAGTTAACAAAAGGAGATTCAACCTCACCATAAAACATTAGGGAACCCTGGAGTCTGCTTGCTTAAAACACATGCTGCTGTATATTGGTCCGGAAAGCCAATAGGCCATTGGGCTAAAAAATTTAATTATATGTGGATAAGTAGAGTTGTGATTTTATTCTATATATGCTTAAATGATAAAGCATGTTGCCAACCGCAGAGCCAGATGCAATAAGATGCTGAGTTCAAATCTTTATCATGATGATTATCTTCACCTATAAAGGGCCCATTTACAATAACTGGCACCACTGCATTGTGTCTCACAAAGAATCCTGAGCTCCTTGACGAAATAAAAAAAATCAGGTAACGAAATTTAAGTTCCTAATTTTTAGGAAGACTTTGAAAAGTGCTGTTGCACAAAACTGTTAATCAATGTCTTGAAATAGTTTGTGCAGGAAATATATACGTAAATATACAACAGTTCGTTTAACTTCTAAAACATATAAAAATGTATATAATAAATTAATAACAATAATTTACAACTCGATGTCAGTCCAGTGCTGAATGAAGGCTACCGCACATCATGTCAATCATGGGGGTTGTTTGACCATACTTCACCACACTGGTCTATGGGGGATGGTTATGTGGAGGACCCAGGACCAGTTCGGATACAATGCACTACTGGTGTTAGCCATGGTGAGGAATCAAACTCAGGTCACCGGGTTCATCGTGAAGTGCCAATGCTCTACCCAACATTTACGTACATCGGCCAGTATAATCAACATGTGCAAACGACGTGTGTTTAAGCAGGGAAACCTTGGACCCATTTCAACTTCCAGAGTGTCTCACCAAGAGGGGAGTGACCAATGAAATATGTTTTCGACTTTCCTGATGCTAGGCAACAGCTTATACACATTTGGGGGTTAAGCAGACGTTTGTTAACTTTGTTTTATTTGCCGCAATTCATCATGACAGCGCCTATGATGCAATGTTGTTGCACTGTGCTGCATGGATCCGTCTGTCTGTGGATATCTCTCGTCTGGCACAATAAGCAAGCTAGTAACATTTGTTCATCAGGATGATGAAACTCAGAAAGTCGACGCCAATCGTGGGTTTACCTATTCAAACAAATGGCGCTGGAAGAAATTGGCCCGGAAGTCCCATAAAATTTTGTGTTCGATTTTTAGACGGTGAAACAGATTTTTGAACGTATGGAAGTTATTGTGGCCATATTAAGGTAGTGACGACCATATGACAGTGATGATAGTGGCCATGTGAAAGTATGTATGTTGAACTTCTTTCACACCGTACGTAGCCAACCATGCTAATCGAAGGTGATGGCGGTGGCCATATGAAGGTGGTGGCAGACATATGGAGGTGACAGTGGTCAAGTGATGGTGGTGGCCATATGGCTGTGGTGGTGTCCATATGAATGCGCAGAAATGTGGGTGCGGTTGGAGGAGTAGGTTGCGGGCCGTGCCTTGCGGTAAAGCAAGCCGGTGAGTGCGCTGCGGAGCCGAATGCCCGTCACGAATCCCGCGTGGAAGTGCTGATGCGCCAGCATGGACGTGGCGATGGCACACAGGAACATCAGCCCCGCCAAAGCATAGCCATGCCATGTGGGGCGCGAATTGTCCCCGACAAACCGGATCAGGTGACTGCACGTGCGCACAAGAACAGTGTTAATCGCCTGAATTAATAAACAGTCTGAAATTTTGTCTAAATTTAACATTAATACACCGAGGCATTCGTATAATGGTGGCAAGTGAACCCATAGGATGATGATGACTGGCATCCATTCCATCACACGAATGTTTAAGTATGCAGCAGGAGTGAATGTTTCGGAAAAAAATATTACAGGTACCCATAATTTAACTTAATAATGTGAATATTCAATTGCTGTGGAATGATGGATGAATAAACAGGTTTTTTTCATCTCACGATACAGGCGTCAAATCAAGCATGACATTCCATGTTTTTAATATTCGTATATAGAGAAAAAAGATCATTTTCTTTATCTGAATTTTAACCCTGAATTGCAACAACTGATTTGCACGGAGCAGGTTGGTGAATTGTTATACCCATCGTATTTAATGTTTATTATTTTTGTGATTATTTTAAGGCGTTTGAGTTATAACAATTAACGAATAGTACAAGTATCAAAGAACAACCCGATAATTAAAATAGTGAAAACAACAAATCAAAAGAGAAAATGCCATGACCAAACACACCAAATACAATGATGGAAAACAAAATAGATAGAGGCAACAAATTTACAACATATATGGAAAATTATATCAGCTTTGTGTATGAGATGGTCGCCCTGATCACCTATTCCTAAGGTCAATCATTTGTCCTTATGGGTTTTAAGACTCTGGACAGCCCCATCAACTCACCCCGCTGTGCCCTCACCATTCCCAGGTGTCCCCATGTCTCACCTGAGCAATAAGGGACTTGCGAACGACAGAATGTCCTGCAGGAGCTTGTAGACAGAGCCCACGAGATACCGTGGCCCAAACGCCAACGCCATGGCCCTGATGAGGGATGGCTCTTGACCTGTGGCTCCTCCCTCTGTCCCAGCACCACCACTCTGGGACTTCTCCCTGGGCAGGCGTAGCTGAACGGAGATGAGGTTCCTGTCCTCACCGGGACCCGCTGCTTCCTTAGTCAGGTGGCCGTTTTTATCTCGCACGTGGTATGCAGCTTTCGCGTCTCTGCAGGCCAGAAAAAATATACAAATGTGTACAAGAGGTGAGTGGAAAGCCTGTGGCCTATCAGAGAGCAATGAAGTTGTGTTATTGCTCCTGGGAAGTGCAAAGTGCTTCGTCCATCATTGATTCCTACCCAGGAGAAGTCTTTGTTTTTTCCTTAAGCCACTCGCTTGCCGATCATGTCACTAAAATATCGTTGGGAAATAGCTTTCCCCACAATGCAACCTACTTTGGCAGTTGAAACATGGAAAGTACTGGCAGCCAGATCTAGTGATTTTGACGTTTTCCAATTTGCTTAATTTTTCAGTGAACACACAAACCAGATGATTTGAAGCATCCAAGCTAAATTACAGCTGTAAATTGTCATTATATTTGATAATCCTTAAAAAGTAACTTGATTTTATCGAAACCTTCACCAATTGTTGAAACAACACACCTTCTACGTCAGGCCAACTGACTTTTCAATCACAATGTGTATCCAGTTCAACTGGAGCATTTTTAAAGCCATTGTGTTTAAAGATGTTGATAAATTATGTTGGTGATGTGATTCAGATGTTGGCAGGAGGCCATATAATGCCTGTGGAGGGCTCTGTTTAGTTTGGTATTACTGTATATACTTTTCAATTTACTTTGCCAAGTCGGGGTGCTATGCCAGGCTTAAATGGCCCTGTAGCCAAGTGGTGCATCACACACATGAACTTTACTTTTACGAGACAGATGTCATATTTGTGTACAGCAAAATGCTGTAGATGTAATTTAAAGAAAGCAAAGTTTGTGATAGGTGAGACACATGTGGCTGATAGAGGGCAGGTAACCGAGACATACATTGCAGTGGGCACCTCGAGATCAAAGACAAAGGATAATATCTAAAGCAGAATGGTAAGATTATGTAAGAACAGTTCTTGGAGATTGGGTTGACTGTGAAACAGCTGCAGGATTTAGCATAAGCAATGGTAAGGTGTGGTGGCATGAACAACATTGGCTGTAAAGACATCTGAAGTTCAGTCAAACCATAACAAAAACCAGAGTAACCAAAATTATCCATCGCTGAGAAGTGAACTCAGGTCATTGGGCTTATAGTGTAGTGTGCATTATAAACAATGGGAAAACTATAAATTACAAACTACTGGACAGATGTAAATGTAGATACAGATTAACAATTAACCATGTCTTGTGTCATATAGATACAAATTGGCATGTAATTTCAAGTGTACAATTTAGATATTGATTACAAATGGAACAAATTACACTACAATTGACGCTTACAATTTAGACATTTATCTCTGGCAATGCACTAACCACTGCGCAAACCACTTCAACTCCATCTCGAACATTACAGTACATGGAAAACTTAAGTGGCGAGATAAGGTCTACCCCGATCTTTGTGCGATCCGAGCTTGCTCCTTCCTCCACACGGCCTGCAAGTGTGGTACCACGAAGCTGCAGGAATCCTTGTGCCGCAGTGACCACAGGTCGCTCATCTTCAGTCCCCTACGGTACCCATTCACCGCCATCCTGCGTAGCATAGACATGTGGCAGGGGAGGGGGGAAATGAACAGGAGCCATTTGCGCCCACCTCCGATTAGCACGGTTGGCTACATACGGTGCGAAAGAAGATCAACATACATAATTACATACCCCCCCCCCTAATTCCCATGTTCCCATTGCCTTGTTGGAAAGGAGTTGGCCGAGATTTTCATCGCAGACTTTCCAGGCTGACCCGAACTCACGAGAGCAGCTCACATCTTAGCGCTCGAGCTGCTTGCAGAAGCAGCCATGATGTCACAGCGTCAACACGAAAGGCTTTCGTTTTCATTCAGTGTTTTTTTCGTTAAAAAAATTATAACATAATGTAAATGAACAGAAATAACAGACGTCAGCTTGGGATAGTGCAACAGAACTGAACTGTAAGTTTAATGCTGAACTAAGATAGCATCCTTCTGGCCGTGGCGGGAAGAGAAGGAAAGGACGGACAGAGAGGAAGGGCAAAGTCTATGGAGCTGAGTTGCCATGAAGTGTTGGGACAAGAAACAAGTCGCGCTGAGCCGTGCCAAGAACAGCCTGGCACGGCACAGGTTTGGTTTCTATTAGCTGTGGAAACACACTGTTTATACTCCAAGGTGTGTGCTGGTTTGGCTTGGGCTGTATTGTGGTGATCCAAAGCAAATTGTGAGCACAGTGCAACATGACAATTTCACATCCAATTGACTCTCGATATCTAGAAAGGACCAAAACTGTATTGATATGTTAACAAGAGAGAACCTCACCTAGTGAACCAACAGAAGGTGAGACGAGATATGAACGAGGCACCCACTTCCGGACACAGGTTCTAAATCGCAAAAACAACACAGAGAGAGCTGCTACATGAGATCACACCACAGAGTCATGGTATACTGTGTGGCATAGCGTAATGCGTTTGACGCAGAGCAGCTTTGGTTAGAGAGCTTGGCTCACTGATTGGGAAGGCTGAGAGTTAGAGAGCTTGGCTCACTGATTGGGAAGGCTGAGAGTTAACCTTCCAATTGGGGCTTAACTCCAGAGTCGATCAAATGAGTACTGAATTGCGGTTATTTGAAGGACAGACTGACCACTATCTTGGGAATGCGGAAATTACAATGCTGTCTTAGAGCCACCAATTGAGGAGCACCACCACATTGATTGTTGGAACTAGCAAACTTTTTTTGACTTTCTGAAAAAAACAACAATAATTCACATTGATAGAGCACATTTAGTTAAATTGTCACTATGAGGTGTCTTTCAATATGCCTATTCCTGAACAGATAATAAGTGTTGCAATACTCTGAGAGCAATCCAACTGGGTACTTTGTCTCGTGATGTGACAACGATAGCACACACCAGATAAAATTGTCCAAAACGGTAAAAAAAATATATGGTTTAACTCACTGGGTCGTCAGAGTCTGTGCTGAAGAGTGGTCGCTTCTCAGCGAGACAAACAAGGATGAACTGTACGAGCACGAGCACCGAGTACATCAAAAACACCGTGTCTCTAAACGGGTCCTCCAACATTCCCTGCACACCAGAACGCACATGCACAAACACGCGCGTGCACTCATGAATATGGTTACACCGTCATCAGGAATGTGATCCCAATTTTCGGATGAATCTTAACAAACTCAAAAATCTGAAAATCGACCAAAGATATGACGTTTCAGATTATCCAAAAAAAATATTGTTTTCAGAAGTCAAGCAGAATGGAGTCTGAACAGTGCTTGGGTGGGCAACCACCATGCACAGAGGTAGTTATAGGCTGCTCTGGGGGGTACGTGGTGGGCAGTAGAGGGGAGTGCAGTAATATCCATTGTTGTTCTGTACTTCTATGCTTTCATGCCCATGCTTCCCACTTTTACCAGCCCACACTGCCCAGCATGGTCAAATATGATCAAGTAACCCCCAAGACCTGGACTGCATGTTCATCGCTGTACATTTTTCAATTGGTTCTTTCCGAATTGATTGTGTTCACAAATTTATATTTGTTTACCGTACTTATTTCAAGGTAGGTCACCCTTGAAAAATAGACTTCTGGTCTGAATGGGCACTCACCTGGGAATAAATGATACCCCTTTTGGACTGCACATCTGAGCCAAGCCAGTGTAGGACCCTCACAGTATGGGTGGTTTTCACTGGCGATGTGCCATGCCCAGCCGGCACCAAATCAATATGTTGGTCTCACAAAACATCTGGATTTGGCTCGAGGCCAAGTAGGGCCAGAGCCAGCACTAATGATACATGAATTGAATATGACATCAGTCATTACACAGAGGACACGGCATCACTGCTCCTTCATCTATACATACGGCTCGACTCATTCACAGCATGCGACGTCAGTGGCACGGCTCGTGTTCTGAAGTGGAAAAAACAACCTGGTTTCTGCTGAGCTGCACTGTGGCTGGGCTGGCTCGTGCACAGCCCTGTACTCTGTACAGTGGAAAAGAGACAAAGGCCAGGCCAGGTATCTGTCCATCTGTTTGTGTGGCAACGCTTGCAATCACCAGGCGAACGGCATGCAGCACACTTGACCGCGTTCCCGTAATCGCCCCCACCAGCACCAGCAGCCAGAAGACGAAAAGCAGCGCTGAGGAGTGGACGCCGCTCCAACGCTCCACCTGCCCCAGGACCGCCGCCAGGAGCTGCAGGACAATCGGTGAATGAAAGCAGTCAATGGAAAAATCAGTCAAGGGGGCCCTAAGTGACAGCTGTCCCTGTTCCGCACCAGCTGCAAGTGGCAACGGCTTGAAAATGGGCATTAGTCTGCTATTAGCACGATTATGATGGTTGGCTACGTACTGCGCGAAATAAGTTCTACATATATACATACATGCAAGTGGGTGGGGTGATCTTGCGATGCGGTTTCACCAAATTAAGCCATTTGTAAAACTTTAACCATAACGCCGGCACATATGGCCTCCTCTTCTCCGAATAACATCAGGGAATTCTTAACATCCACTGTGAAGCAGATGGCGAGTATTTATGGTTAATACATCCGCTATTGCTCTGCCATGTCACGCCCCATCGGTTAACGCACAAATGAAATATCAATCAATGAACAAAAACAAATACCCCTCAACAGCTCACAATTACAAATGTAAAACAAGGTTATATATTTTCCCCAACTCACTGACCCTGGCCAACCATGGAACACAGTCACGTTTACATCCATCACTTCAACAGCAACCACATGCACCCCACAGTCACTATTTAATGATTAACTTCGAGAACTCTGTGTGTGCAGTTTAACCTCCTGTAAATTGCAGCTAATTTGACATTTTCCATAATAGAGGCTTTTTTGGTTTGATCGCGAAAATATAAATGTGTCATTAAACCCGCCACCACCCGACACAACCAATCAGTAAAGTTTGTCACGTAAACAAAACATGCCAATTAGTTACTAATTCAGTACACCAGTGTGTTGGAGAGTAAACCCACATTTACAATTCGACTACTATGTTTCACCGGTAATAACAACCAGCCTCATCAGGCGGCAGCCAGAGTTGTGGAGAAATCCTCCTGTTTCGCTCTTAAATGGAGGAGGTAAATGTTATGTCGTCACTGTGAGCCAATCCTTTGCAAGAAACTTCATTACACATTGCTGTTCCACATCACGTCACATGCTCTCTGATGTGTTTTCGAGTTGAACCACGTGTTGTTTGGCATGATGTCCGACGTCTCGATCCACGTGCTGGGAGCTCATGCAGGAACTGATCAAGATGATCCCAGTATATTGAGAAAAACGTTGGGCTAATTTCCAAACAACACATGGTCCCACCAGAAAGCACATCAGAGAGCTAGGTAGCACAACCGGAACAACCTACAGTCACATGACACGTACTTTTTGTTGCCATATTCAAAACACCCACATGGCTCTGCACAACTTTGAGATATCGCCACTTCCAGTCCACAAACTTTTGGTGATCTGTAATTTTTTGGAGTGATTATCTAGAACAAAATATGCACAAAAGGTGTGCTAAATCTACATGTACGGGTGTGTGCATGCTTGCCAACGTGCCATGGTTGCCCCCAGAATGAGTGGTGAGATGAAGAAGATGGGAGGAAGTGATTGACCTTGGCTCCTCTCCCACAGCGAGAAGAACAGTTTGGCCCAGCACAACAGCCATAGTATAGCACACAGCACCTGACAGCACACAGTACGCACAGAATTCACACATCATGCAGTCAGTACATGGTATGGCTTGATTCACGTGATAATACCTGTAAACTGTTCTGAGTAGTTGTTTATGCACAGGTTTTTAACGTGACCAAGGAGGGCAACAAAAAGTGATGCTGCCCATCAAGACAACAACAATAACAACGCAGCAAGAGATTGAGCACATTTATGGTGACTGTACATGCACATGCACAGCCCTTATTGTCCATCCACTGCTAGAAACACAATATAATATTGGATTTTGCTGATCGCTCCTCTGCTGCCCAAACCATAGCCCAGTCACAAAAACCTACGACAAGCTGTTTGCTCATGGTGGTGGTCACCCATTCAAACACTATCAAGGCTCAACCCTACTTAGCTTCCAAGATCTTGGAAGAATAGTTGTATTCCACATGGTTTGGGTCATTAGCTCGGCATGATTCGGTCATTAATGATACACAATGCACGAATCCCACCACCGCGCCTTTCCCCGAGGACTCACGGTCTTGGCACGGCTGAGCACGGAACAGGCAATGTAGCCCTGGCGGTGGTGTCGCAGCCAGGCGAAGTACGGCAGAGCGGCGAGCCACAGGAACGTGCACGGCACCCATACCAGCACTGTGGCCTGGAAGCAGGCGGGGACGTCCGGCGGGTCCCCATGCAGAGTCAACGTCCAGTTCTGCCAACGCATTCATTCAGCCACATCAGGAACCACACGAGGAGCCCGAATTCAAGTTAATTTGTTTAACGAGGTGAGAACTTAAGGGGCCAGGATGCGTCTCATTTGCAAGAAGTGACAGGTGGTCACGCCTCTGCTTAAGGGTGACTTGGATTAAACCGTAGCGTTTAATCCAAGTTTAATCCATATTTGCATCAATATATTTGAAATGTTAAATCTTAAATATTTTAAAGCAATTAATATTTTACAATTATGGATGATATAATTATTTTCAGCATGCTGGACATGCCCCATAATTGCAAAAGGCTCTCCTCGCAATGAGTCCGGCTTCGAGAGGGGTTTACTTTTTTGTCATTTCTGTGTGAAGGAATCTAGAGCGACAAAACCAATGTGCCTCGCCTTGCTGTTGTTTATTAATAGGTCCACTGTGAGCCTGTGGTACGTGATCTCACAATGGTGCTTTGCCTGTATGTACTGTAAATAAACACTGTTGCTCTTTTACATTTGATACCTCCCCGTGTTGTAACGACAACAAAAGGGTTATGGGTGGGATTTGTTGAGGTTACCACTGGGTCCTGCCTCCCTTCCCTCTGAGATAGTTTGATTTTAGGAAACGACTGAACAACTGAACAAACCATTTTTTGCTGACAAAGGGAAGGGCTTTTAGGGGGCAGAGAATTCCTAAATCTACGGAAGCGCCTCTTTGTTGAGTTTTGGTCATGCGTTTGTTTGCATTTAGATAAGACAGCAAGTATTAACTGGCAAAGGGACTGATGTGGGTAACGTTTCCAGTTAATTGTAAGGCATTACAGTACTCTGTAAGATATTATTGAGTAGCCGAGAGGGCTCATAATAGCATGGCTTTGCCAAATTACAAAGCCAGCAGCATTGACATCCATCGTATGAATCCAGACAGATACCCGTGATTACATTTGCAAATAAATAACTAGAAAGTGCTTTTAAAGTCAAAGGTAAAATTTCTCCATGCTCCTAATGTGCATTTGGACGGCACTCATCTTCATTGGCGGGCCTGAGCTAGCAGTGGAAATTCCACATTCCCACGGTGGGGCCATTTTCTCAATAAGACCATGCACTATTACATGGTCTCCTTATTGAGGAGACCAAATTGACTATACTCTTTGGTTCTATTCGGTAATGTCACGTAGGTAGAAAATAAACAAAAATCATGACGTTTCGGCCACAACACAAGTGGCCTTCATCAGGTGAAGGGACCAACCTGTCCAGAGGACAGCGTTGGAGTGAAAAAAGTCAAGCGCAGGTCGCCTCCTTTAAGCTGTGAGTGGGTAAACAGAAAAAACGCCTTGACAAAGGTATTAGCATAAAATGTAAAGCTGTGCAAGCTCGCAAATAGCATCAAAAATACATTAGCACCACCGTGAGAGTTTGGGATGCCACTAATTGAATGAACATTCTTGGATGTTCTGTTTGAGAGGAGACCTGATGGCTCATTGGGACATTCTGTCTATAGGAAACCCACCCACACAGATTCCTACTTGAAACCTAATTCCCACCACCACCCAATGCAAAATAATTCTCTCATCAAAACGTTATACCACAGGGCTCATTGCATTTCGGACCAACACCATTTGACCAGTGAATTAAAACATGTACATCTGACCCTCAAAAGGAATGGATACTCTGACCGTACCATCCGCCAAGCTGTTTCTCCCTCCATACAGAAACAACCACTTGATACTCCGATCAAAACCATCACACTACCATATATAGCAGGCATTACTAAAAAGATCTCCAAAATTCTAAACAAACACAAGATCCTGGTCTGGTTCAATACAGTACACAAAATCCGTGACCTGATCCCTTCCGTGAAGGATGTCATTCCTGACTTACAGTACCCCGGAGTTTACAAATTGATCTGCACCTGTGGTGACTGCTATATCGGGGAGACGAAACGACATGTCTCTGACCGAATTCGCGAGCACAAATCAGATTTGAAACACGGCAGAACGAATTCTTCTGCCGTGGCTGATCACTGTTACAACGCTGTGGGTGATCACGATATAGTCTTCTCCGATACCAAGGTTCTATGTAAACCCACGGGTTTCTATCAGAGATTTGTTCACGAGGCAATTCAGATTTACAAACACAGACACAATTTCAACCGAGAAGATGGCTTAAAATTAAGCAACCATTGGAAAGATGTTCTAAATCGAGCCAAACGTTAAAGGAATTTTTAATGGTACAGTATGTTCATTCAATTAGTGGCATTCCAAACTCTCACAGTGGTGCTAATGTATCTTTGATTCTATTTGCGAGTAATTCCTTTGTCAAGGCGTTTTTTCTGTTTACCCACTCACAGCTTAAAGGAGGCAACCTGCGCTTGACTTTTTTCACTCCAACGCTGTCCTCTGGACAGGTTGGTCCCTTCACCTGATGAAGGCCACTTGTGTTGTGGCCGAAACGTCATGATTTTTGTTTATTTTTTACCTACGTGACTTTACCGAATAGAACCAAAGAGTATGGATCCTTGCAGTCACGAAAGCTTCAAATCTAGAAACAAATTGACTATGTAAGGCTGATGGGCTGAGTAAGAATGTCATTTTGTTCAAAAGATTAGCTTACTCTATTCGGTGTGCACTTCCAACTCTACTTCCAACAGATTGGATGAATATTTGTTTTTATGCTTGAGAATTAACATGACCGTGTCATAACCCCACACCCACATTGCATTCGGGTGTGACTAGCCTGACACTGCTGGCTCAATGGATAGAGAAAAGGGCATCGGAGTCAACGAACCTTGATGAGAGTTACGTGACTTTATCTCAAGTGATCACAGTGCATTGGGACAGTGCTCATCTCTGTGGGTAGCCCTGAGCCAGTGGTGAATATTCCACATTCCAATTGTAGGAGGTTGGCTCTCTACTGTTAACCACTGTTAACTTCACACAGTTTTACTCGTTTTATCCACCTCAGAAAGGATAAATTATAAACATGATGCAATATGCTGATTGTCATTTATTTTAATCAAAGGAACAACTATTAGAATATTACTATATTTAATTGCAAACACGCTTTTTTTTTATTCTGAACGTGATTATGTAATATTTTTTTCTCCCCAGTGCTTATACACACCAGGTACCAATTTAAGGCTGAGTCGACCTAGGGGAGGCCCAACACTGGTTATAATATCACTCACCACTGATAGTAGTCATGCTGGTAATGAAACTAGTTTCCATGTACAGGGTGCTAACCACCATGCCACCACTAACCAAGACGGATATATATAACACAAACAAGATACAAGACCTTTATTTGCATCTAAATCTTGCTATCTGTGTTACAGTCACGCAGAACATGTTTACCAATCATCAGGCACATACAGTGTGTAATGTATTTGTGGGCAATAATGGTAAACCTGGACAGTTGACAACTGGAGTTTGAGAAACCATGCCATAGTCGGATTTGAGCATGGAACATAAACTGATCAGGGGTCGTAGAAATTTACTTTAGAGGGACTGTGACGCAGGATTAGAGGTTCACAAGCAAAATTAAACCATCACGTGTGAGAAAACCCCCTATTTTATTGCAGAAGATATATTAGAATAAGAGATTAAGTTACAGAGCATTTGACTCAAAATCAGAATGTAAAATATTTAAATTCTGGCTGAGAGTCGACTCAGTCTATTGGGCAATAAAATGGGTAAAGACTTTGTGAGCAGTCAACAATTGTCGACTTCGAGACGGGCCCCCACATCGAAATGTGGAATGTTCACCTCTGGCTAAGGAAAACCAATGAAAATAAGCACCCCCAAAAATGTCTATCCTCGGGGCACTTTTACTTTTAAGTTATTATATTGATTATATAGCGTCTTGTTTCACTGCAGATTTCTTGCCCAGTTCAGCAGTTTCTAACTGTTGTGTCCCACCTGATGACGGGCGCTTGTGTTGCGCCCGAAACGTCGTGATTTAATTTAGTTGTTTTCATTTTTATTTTATTTTTTTACCTACGTGACTTTATAATAATATTATAATGAGTCAGATGAAATTCAACCGTAATTTCTGCAGCAAAACTAAATACTGTCCTAATAAGTACCCCCGACCTTACATTAGCAACTGATTTGTGGGTGTAATAACTGTCAGGGCAGCCTATCATTACTTACAATCATTGAAATACTCGTCTGTGCAACACTCGTCAGTCAAACGGAATACTTAGATTCCGCAGATTTATTTTTGTCCAGCGTAAAGGCAATGCATTAAATATCTCAGGTTCCATCTGTAACTGTCATTAAGTGAAACCAGTTTGGTGGGGTCATACCTGAACACAAGACACGAGCATGCTTTGGGAGGTGGAGGCAGGGGTGAATGATTAAGATTAAAAGGAGATGAGCTCTTTCAACAAGGCTGTTCACAAGACGATTAGACGATCATTTATAAAGAGTTTCGTACATATATAACATATTTGGGCAACTGCAAAGTATCTTGCTTTTTAATATACAGTACTGTAACTTAAACATTTCAAAACATCTGATTTTTATGCAATAACAATAACAATGACCCAGTGGAATCTTTTGTGTACACAGTGTATTTACAACCAAGTGATAACTTGTATCACTGATTTACTTTATAGCAGCCAAGAATGGTCAAGCTGTGAAAACCAAAACTGAAAGTTATACACAAAGTTAAAAGGGATCTCCGTGATGCATCAGAGAAGGTTGATGATAGGGGTATTGTAGGCTTAAGATCAGAGGAAGAGCGATTGCTAGTCGTTAGTTGGCTACTTCGTTATGATTAGAGCCAGTGGCGGGTCGTGACATGCTGTGAGTGGCCTCAGATAATATGGTGAAAGTGAAATGTCTTATCTACCAACGGTAGACATTTATAAACAATACGAAACTAAACAACAAAGCACTCAAATGCTGTCCCCATGCCCGTCAAGTTCCACACTCCACAACCCCTTTGGCACTGCCTCTCCTAGAGCTCGTAGTCCGTGAGCTGCTCTGTTTGCACAATGCAACCTCCTC